TAGAATGACATCAACTTTCCTTTGCTTCGTTGCTTTTAACAGAAATTTTTTGCTTCGCTTCTTTTTCCTTTTTCCAGAATTAGTAAAGCTCTGTTTCTGTAAAATTTTGTATGACATTTGTGTTTCTTTCAACAAAGACAATAAATATTTACATAAACGAGTTTTACATACAGAAACACAAGACTTAGGAACTCCAAAAAAATGCCAAAGCTTGCTTGTAGGTGCCATTGGAATAAAGGGTGCGATAGTGCTTTCCTATTAGAAGACGTGCTAATTGACTTCAAAGTGTCATTCACTAGATTGATAAGATCATTTTTGAAAATTTCTCTATTTAAGCTTTGTCATTACATTGTGGGAGTTATTTCAATAAATTACCCTATTTATTCTAATACAGTGCGTTGCAAAATGATAGAAATACCCTCAATTTCTGCGATTTTTGATTTTAAATAAATAAAAATGCGAAACGATGTTTAAACTCGAATTTTATATACAAAAGTACGCACAAATACCGTTTACGAGATCATTTACTTTAAAAGCCAGAATGTTTAAAGCATTTCTTTATTTTACACCTTTTTCAAAACGATAATGGCAATCTAGGGAGGTGGCAAAAGGCATCCCCATACCTCTCCGGGGTCATCCCCATGCCTCTCCGGGGTCATCCCCATGCCTCTCCGGGGTCATTCCCATGCCTCTCCGGGGTCATTCCCATGCCTCTTTCCGGCAAAAACCGGCATCCCCATGGGTAAAAAGAGTTCGTTTCACCACGGTTCTTTTTCATTTTCTACCTGTAATAACCATGCTTTTGTTTGCTTTTTCTTAATTTTTATTTTTTAGGAAGATGGGACGTGGAAAATCGCGTTCGCGGCTCGAATAGATGAAAATTGCGATTTTGAAAGGAAAAAAGTTGTCAAATCGGAAAATCGCAAAGAAAATGAAGCGCTCGCACCAAGTTGTTGCAAATTTCTTGAAAACTTATCAGCATCCTCGTGAGAAATATTTATGCTAATGGGAAGACTTACAACACGATTTCGCAACTCAAAAAAAGCAATTTTGCAAGCTTGGGCGTCAATTCCATCACAAACGCTTCAAAACTTGGTGAACTCGATGAAAAGTCGATTACTCGACGTCATCAAGAAAAAGGGAGCCTCTATTGATTATTAATGAATTTCTCATTCGTTTTTCTTTTGTTTATTCTTAAATTTATTGTTATTTTTTATGTGATCCTATCATTTTGTTGCAATTTATTCAAATAACGTTAGAAACGGTATTTATGTCTATTTTTGTATACATTTCTAGGATTTAAAAACTATTTCGCGTTAAGACCCACGGCGAAAAAATGTAAAATTTAGGGATGGTCCTATCATTTTGCGAAGCACCTTAGAAGCGCATGCGCTTCCATTTTTCAATCATTCCGCAAAATTGCTTCTATTGGAGGAATTTACTTGAGGAGAATCGAAGTCTTCGCGAACTCGTCGATCACGAGGCCAGAAAGCAAAACGGGACTCCCTTTAGGTTTTTCTCTTTTTTGAACAGCTGTTTTATAGTATTCCCTAATCCCCCTTCTCTTCGTAATTGCTAAAAATTCAAAAAAATTTGTTCAAATCTTTCTATTTAAGTGTTCAACAACAAATAATATAAATATCGTAAAGTTCAAAATTTCTTTCCACATATTTTGAAAGGTGTGAATAGTAAACAAGTTTGTTTTGGATATGAATTGGAAAGCTCTAATTTTAAAACCAACAAGGGGTCAGTCAAAGCTGGGATTGAAAGGACATGAAAGCTTTGCGCGTGAGTTATTTCATGCGGTTTTAACAAACTTGGAATACAAATTGGAATTTTTATTGACAAAATCTAAAAAATACTAGAAAATCTTTAAAATATTAGCTTTCCCAAACGATTCCAATCAACAAGCAACGCCAGGCCCCGCACAGAAGCCGAACTCGGGTTTGCCGGTGAACGAGCAACAATGGAGTCCCTTTGGGCAACCAGAGGGTGGACAAGGAGCCACAATCTAAAATTGAAATTGAAATTGAAAGCTGATTTCATTGTCGAAAGTTGTGTTTGCCTCAATTCAACTTATTTTTCAGGCAAAGGCAAGACTCTTGTGACTCTTGACAGAAACAGAGCTTTACTAATGCACCAGTGCTGAGATAATACAGCTTTTAATGCAGAAATGTACCAGTGCTGAGATATTACAGCTTTTAATACAGAAGGTAATTTCCTCGTTAAAAATTTAAAAGTACGGTAACTTTTCTCTTTTTGGTAATCAAATAATTTAGTTGGTAATCAAAGTTCCTTAACAATTGTACTTTTATTGTTAAGAAAGGGAAACAGATTCAAGGCCAACTCCATCAATCAAACATTATTAAAACATTCATCACTATAACATGTTCAAATTGTAAAACCAACTTCTTGAATCATCAACAGAACCATCAAGCAAACAAGTAGAAGAAAATATTGAGTCATAGTGAAAACTTTTGAAAAATGCTTTGAAATGCTATTTTCTTTTTGGCTTTATATAATGATCATGTTTACGAGTTGGGCGCATTCAGAAAAAATGATCCATTCGTTTCTATTTGCACCATTGGTTGTGTCGAAATTGCCTTTGCTGAGAGAAAAATTTGATCTTTTAGAAAAATGGAAAATCAATAATGCAAAATATTATAATGATTGTACCTAAGTCGGTCTTAAAGGTTGAAAATGGTTGCTGACACAGCAAATTTGGCGATTGTTTCAAAGAAACTTAAACTTAAACTTAAACAATAGATTAATATCTTTTAGCAAATACAAAATAACATTCAATTGCTTTTGCTGAGAGAAAAATTTGATCTTTTAGAGAGAAAAGTGTAAAATCAATGATGCCAAATAGAATGAGGATTGTACCTGAATCGGTCTTAAAGGTCACGACTTTTTCGATACAGTAGAGATATTGGATATTGGGATTTTACAGCATCTGTAGCTCTGGAAAACGACTACAAGAACAAGAAAAAGCTTTCAGACAAGCTTCACCAAGTCCAAGTATATTAGCATCGACGAGTCGACAAAGCAAAAAGATGAAAGAAACAAATTCTTGCTAAACAAGTTATTTTCTGGACCATCAGAAGAAATTGCTTGAAATTTCTGCGCCAAGTCTTCTTTGAATCAATGTTTCAATCGGGTTTCTTTATTCTAGAATCTTTATTATTCTTTATTATATTTCTATTCACTTCTAGAATTGTTTTGATGTGTTTTAAAATTTCTTTTTTGTTATAAAACACTTGTCTTTCCCCTTTTTCTCGGAAAAAAGGCTGAGTTTTCTTTTTCTGCAAAAGAGAAAAGCTCCACCCATTCCAAACACGCTTTTCTTGTATAAGTTTACCTAAAAACGCAATGTTTTGCGAAACTTTTGTATTTTTGAGAAATTTAGTCATTTGAAAGCTGCATTTTCTTTGTTTTATTCTATTTACTGAATAAAGTTTTTGTTTTAGCTTTGATTTATTAGGTTGTCCAATAAGTAATGCGTGTTTTGACACGATTTTCAAAATATCACAAAATTAACAAAAGAGAACTTTATTAATCGATATATTCTCCACAACAATCAACAACATTTCTCCATCGTCCGAGCAAAGAGTGAAGTCCGTCATAATAGAATGAAGCTGGTTTCGATGAGAAGAAATTGTCGAGCCATTTTTGCCTTCCAGCGCGTTCCTCGTCCTCTAATGACTCGTTTCCGTCCGCAAATCGTTTAAGCCAGCGCTGGCACTGGCTGATTGAAATTGAATCCTCTCCAAATGCGGCACAGATAGTTCGATGGCAATCCGCTGCAGTTTTACCTCGTTTGAAATCATACAGCATTGATGCGCGGACAACAAACTTTTTGTCTTTCATCTGCAAAACAACATATCTATTATAAAACAAAGGCAAATGAATAAAATAATATATAAAAATAAACACAAGATGCTGATGATTAAAAAGAGCATATATTTGCTCGAAGCGATTTCGCAATAGTTTCGAAATAAGTAACACGCATTACTTATTGGACAACCTAATAGCTTTGAAAATGGTTGCTGACACAGCAAATTTGGCGATTGTTTCAAAGAAACTTAAACTTAAACTTAAACAATAGATTAATATCTTTTAGCAAATACAAAATAACATTCAATTGCTTTTGCTGAGAGAAAAATTTGATCTTTTAGAGAGAAAAGTGTAAAATCAATGATCCAAAATAGAATGAGGATTTTACCTGAATCGGTCTTGAAGGTCACGACTTTCAAATGTTTTTGAATTTTGATAGGAATAACAAATGTTTGTTCATCTGTGAGACGAGATGTTAGCTTTGATTTTGAAAAGAGATCAAATTGATCAACAGACAAATGTCAAAAGCTGCTATAAGATGCGTTTCAAATGCAGTAACCCGAGCTACAATGATTATACTAGTTATTAGCTAGAGTAACTCCAGTAAGCAATTAAGCTAAGCTAGATTCAATTTACACTTTATCCCAAGTTCTGGTTGCATAAAGTTTACGGATAGCCAGGCGCCAACTTTTAAAAAGTCAGAAGGAATAACTGCTTCTCAATGCATTCTTTAGAAAGCTTTAACATATCTTAGATTTGAATTCCGATTCTTTGAGGTTAAAAATGTTCAGAAAAAAACTTATTAAAGTTGGATAACTGAACGGGAACAGTTTTTAGCGCTACCTGTGAACAAATTCGCTTTATTTTTAGTTTTTTGCTTAATCTGGAACGCACTCTTTCAAAAGAAAGTTAAATTTTGATCTGGGAATCAAAATTTGAAATAGGGTCAAAGTTGGGTAACTGAGCTGGGTCGATTTTCAGGTTCTTTTACAACTAATCTTGTTTCTTTACAGCTTATCCTTCATCCTGGATAGCACTCTAGTGAAAACTATAAAAATCTTGACCTACCAAGCAAAATTGAAAAAGAGTCAAAGTTGAGTAACTGAGCAGTCTTTACAGTACATGTAAACCATAGTCTAGCAAATATTTATTCAGTCTTTTTCTTAAACACAACGACTTGGTTCATCGCCATTTCCTGGGACACATTTTCCTTTCGCACAAGGAGTAGAATCACAAACAATATCCTCATTGTGACGTTTAGGCCGAGTTCGTCTCAATGGCGGGAAATTTCCCTGGAATTAGAGAAATATCCGAATATCAGAACGCCGCCGAGCCGAGTTGATGACGATTTTACGGTTTCCAAGCTTTTACAGAAGCTCAACACTCTAATCCCCCACAAGATCTCATTAGAGCATTAAAGCATCATCAGTTACATTTTCCGGCCCCACATCGATAGGTTCTGATAAGCGTTTTTAAGATTTTGAGCAATTTACGCGATGCTCAGGGTGCATTAGACGAAATACTGTATTTGATTTTAAATCAAAGACAAACACCGACCTCTCCCTCCAATCGATTCCCGCATTTTGGCCCACTTGGATAGTTAATGCATTTCTTATCGTAGTCACAATGCTCACCGTTACACCACTGAAATTTTGAATGTTCAAGTGTAGACTGGAGTTAGAGCCTTGCTTTAAACTTTAAACTTCCTATAAAACTGTTGCTAACCTCTCCAAATTGACCGGATACGCTTAAGCTTATCAAAACCAGCAATACGAAAAGTCGGAGCATTGTGAAATAATTTGAATTCCAAAAGGATCCCAGAAGAATGACAAAAGCTGAGCATTTGATTCAGTTGTCGCTCTTATCGCCGATGCGCGTTATTGTTCATTCATGAGTTCGCAACCCTGACGAAAGTTTGGAAAACAAAAACAGCTCTTTGTCCAACTACATCCAAGAAAAATAAAGTGCACGTGTATAGAATTTGCTTAAAATCATTGTGTTATTGAAAAGGGAAAAGAACTTTGTGCAAGTCTTCGTATTTTTGGCTTAAGACAGGTCTTAAGACAGGTAGAGAGGTCAAATTTAGGTCTAACTCCATTCAAAATCTAACAAATTCTCCAAATTCTCTCATTTCAAAAGAAATTTGTTTAAAAAACTGTGAGATTAACAGATTAACGGATATTTTCAATGGATTGGTACACTTGCCACGATCAAAGCGTTTGTTAAACACAATTCTCTTCAATGGAAAATCCTACGGCAGAGCCCAAGCACTTCATCTGCAAAAAATAGCAAAAATTCTCCTCTCACTAATCAATTTTAACAGCAATCCTTCAGTTCTGCCAAAAAGCCAACAATTCTAGTCTTCCTGTCTTTTCAAAACACAAACAGACTCATCAGAGATCCAATAATTTCACTTACACTGACCATTGCCAAGTTAAATCTGTGCTTTTAGAACTTTAAGAGCTTTAAACCTTTAACTTTTAAGATTTAAGATTTTCAACTTCATTATACCCCAAAAAGTCTTGCTCTTACAATTTTAAAACTCTAATTTCTCGTTTGCTTTGTAAATTGTTTGTTTGTAAGTATTACAACATATTTCAACAATTAAAAACCATTTTTTTTGAGTCAACATGGGGAATACCGTTTTGTGTGGCAACAAAGAGAACGAGGCACTGAAACAAAGAGAACGAGGCGCTGAAACAAAGAGAACGAGGCTATCTCCGTTCGATGTGCGTCATCAACGAGAAAAAGTAGCTCAAAATGCGAGATCCTGTCGAGATCCAGGATCAATACATCCCGGATGGGGTCTGTACTGAACTTACCGTAAATACTGTAATTGGACCCCACCCCTCTAATAGTACCCCCCTCTAATAGTACCCCCCTCTAATAGTACCCCACCCTAGAGGGGGAGGGAAAAAATAGTACCCCATGGGGTCCAATTACAGTATTTACGGTAAGTACAATACGGTTTGTAATACAGTACACAGTAATCTAAAGTAATGCAATACTGACGGGTCTAGTACTCTAAATGATTTATGAGATTCCTTTAGGCTGACTCTTGATCAAAGCACTCCACTCTATCAAGCACTCGAACGCTTTCTGGTGTCTCACTACACTTCGACAGGTACAGAGATTAAGTTAGTTTTACACTTATAGTTAACCGCTTTTTTGAGTTATTAAATACTTCTAAAACGTGAACGTGAACTTCTTTTTGAAAACTACCGTAATATAAAGAAAAACTATCTATCTCCAAAGTTCTTATCCGAGAGAATTTAGTAGCAAATTAGATTGTACAATATAATAGTCACAAAGTTGCCAAGATTTCGAAATAACAGAAAGTGATGAAGACTGGTTTTATTGTTTTTCGAAAAGTGTTCTTGACTTTATCAGTTTCAGGTAACAGCCTCCACTTCCTTTTTGTTCAGTCATCTTTTTGGATACATTAGTGATAGTTCAGTCAAGGATCAATCAGGAAAATAGCGACATTTCAGACCCATAATAGACTAGACCAGATACGATTTTGAATATACTAAAATACCCCATTTTTTTGTATTAAAGCCAAATCTTGCTCTTTAGAACATTAGCCAACATTGCTAACAACTTGGCTTGAATAATTCGGCTTTACGTTCTGGATACATTAGAGATATTGGATATTGGGATTTTACAGTATCTGTAGCTCTGGAAAACGACTTCAAGAACAAGAAAAAGCTTTCAGACAAGCTTCACCAAGTCCAAGTATATTAGCATCGACGAGTCGACAAAGCAAAAGGATGAAAGAAACAAATTCTTGCTAAACAAGTTATTTTCTGAACCATCAGAAGAAATAGGTTGAAATTTCTGCGCCGAGTCTTCTTTGAATCAATGTTTCAATCGGGTTTCTTTATTCTAGAATCTTTATTATTCTTTATTATATTTCTATTCACTTCTAGAATTGTTTTGATGTGTTTTAAAATTTCTTTTTTGTTATAAAACACTTGTCTTTCCCCTTTTTCTCGGAAAAAAGGCTGAGTTTTCTTTTTCTTCAAAAGAGAAAAGCTCCGCCCATTCCAAAAACGCTTTTCTTGTATAAGTTTATCTGAAAACGCAATGCCTTGCGAAACTTTTGAGAAACTTTGGTATTTTTGAGAAATTTAGTCATTTGAAAGCTGCATTTTCTTTGTTTGATTCTATTTACTAAATAAAGTGTTTGTTTTAGCTTTGTTTTAGCTTTGAAAATGGTTGCTGAAACAGCAAATTTGGCGATTGTTTCAAAGGATAAACACTTTATTAAATATGATCTGACTATCAAATTGCCAGCGGAATTTGAGCCAGATTTGGTATTTTTTTAAAAATCTTATTTATTTAAGTGAAATTGAAGCTAAAAAATCATACTAAAACCTGCTAAAAGTCTGATCAAAACAATGCCTTTTAAGGCTTTAAAAATTTTTAACCTAAAAAACAATAGATTAATATCTTTAGATATCTTTTACAATAGATTAATATCTTTTAGCAAATACAGAATAAGATTCTAAAAGATTTGTAATTGTTTTGCTTTATAGGAAGATGTTCATTATCGTGATCCAAGGCTAACTGCCACTCCAACTTATTTTCATCAAATCAGTGAAGGAGTGCAGACAATTGTCATGTAAGTCATAGAGGAAATTGTAAATAAAAATAACCCAAAAAAGAAATGAGTCTACTTTAAACTTGTAATTGTACTAAATTTGAATTTTTTTAGCTTATAAATTAACGATATTTCTTTGAAAAATAGATTAGATCTGAGTCGTTCCAGTGCAGCAAAGATGAGAGTTGGTAATGTCATCGAAAATGGGCAATCAATCTCGAAATTTGAAAGAGTGGCTGCGAAAAGGTGATCTTATTAGAACAATGGGATATTTGATACTTTTTAACAATTCAAAATTTATACTAAAGCTAATAAGAAGTCGAAGGAAAACGGAGAGCTTTAGAAAACCATTGTTTTCAAGGCTCAGGCTTAGCAACTCTACTTGTTTTTGAAAGAAACTCTAAAGTTTTCAGTAAACATTTCAATTTTTAATGTTTTATCTTGTTTATTAACCATTAAACTAAAAGTTTTTAGAAGAGATCTCGTTCTCTTGGAGAGAAAAGCCAAAACCGCTCAGTCAGTCTTAGAAAATCATTACACATCGACGCTACGAGAACTACAGAATCTCCAATATTTGAAGCATGAAAATGTAAATTTTAAAATCTAATAAAACTATTGGATTTTGGTGTAGTCATCGCTTCAGATTGTAAAAATGTATGGCTCGTATTGGGAGCCAAGTCTGAGTGGCGATATCAGATATGTGTGGATTATTTCTGAGAGAATGGATGTCACACTGGAACACTATTTTGGGTGAGCGGATGTAAATGTTTATCAGAATGTTTATTCATTTCATTCAAACATTTCTATTCAAACATTTCATTAAGAACTTTAGGAAAATGAACCAGAGACACGTGAAAGTCGATCACCGCCACATGGCCGCACTTCTCGTGCAAATCTTCCGAGCACTCGATTATCTTCATCAACGAGGAGTCATTCATCGGGTGAGTTCGTTAGTTAGCTTATTTATTAGTTAGTTATGGTTAGTTAGCTTATTTGTTAGTTAGCTATGGTTAGTTAGCTTGTTAGGGTCCAGATTAGAAATGTTAAGCCCAAGCAGGCTAAGCCCAAGCAGGCTAAGCCCAAGCAGGCTAAGCCCAAGCAGGCTAAGCCCAAGCAGGCTAAGCCCAAGCAGGCTAAGCCCAAGCAGGCTAAGCCCAAGCAGGCTAAGCCCAAGCAGGCTAAGCCCAAGCAGGCTAAGCCCAAGCAGGCTAAGCCCAAGCAGGCTAATCCAGGCCAGATCAGTCCAGCCCTAGATTCCAGTGGTCAAAGAAGTCTCTACAGTCTTGTACTAAGATTTTTGTAGATTCAACCGGCAGTAAAGCCACGCCATGTCACTTTCTAGCTATCTGCCTTTGAATAATCCTGTCTATTCATATTACTCAATCATTTTCAGGATTTGTCGTCATCAAACATTGGCCTTAACAAGAAAGATTTCCGGATAAAACTATTGGATTTTGGTGTATCTGGGTTTGAAACATTTAATTTACAAATATTTTCTTATTTTAGCTTCATGAATAGACAAAAGGAGCTCACAGAAGGATTGCAGTCAACTCCATTATATCAGCCACTCGAAAAAATCTTGAATGCGAGATATGATCATGGAGTTGATATCTGGGCGGCTGGCTTGATCGGAGTGGAGATGTTGGGCATGAAATTAATGAATCCAACTAGAGAGGACCAGGTGAAATCAAATCAAAAGTTTAACTTTTCATTATCTTAGAAACGAAGTCTCTTCCCTGTCAAAAGCCGAATCTTGAATGTTGTTGGGATTGATGAAGACAAATATCAATCAATGTGAGTATTCTGTTAGTTGTTGTGACCTGAAAGATTCAGCTTTGGTGACCAATTGAGCTGTGAAACGCCAAAGAAAGCGATTCTCGATCAAGAACTCGACAAAGCTTTCGAGAGACTCGAGAATGAGAACAGAGTTGGACTGACAAGTAAGAAACGAGATCCGACAGCAAAGCTCTCTTCATCAGCATTCTTTTCAATCTTTTATTGATCTTTTATAACACTTTACTATTAGGTTGAGGAAAAAGTAATGTCGGTTTTGAATTCCCGTTGTTAGCAATTTTTCTAAAATAGATTTCAGCTAGACACTCTATACTTTCATCTTATATTTGACTTTTACACATTTTTACAAATTTCTCGAAGTTTAGACTTCGAGCCGCTTTGTGGTATAATTTTAAACAAGGGAAATATGCCGCTGAATCGCATCGGACAATCATTGACGTTTTTGGGGAAGACAGCATTAGCGAAAGAAAATGCCAAAGATGGTTGCAGCGGTTCCAAAATGGAGATGAAAGTCTCCAAGACGAGGAACGGCCTGGACGACCGCAAGAGATTTCAGATGCGGATTTGCTTGGTGCCATTGAACTCAATCCAACCCTTACCACTCGAAACTGTTACCGCTGATCTTTATTCAAAAAAGTTGATGAGATTTAACGAGGCTTTAAAGAAATTCGGCGTTGAAACATCAGAATTGCTATTTTTGCATGATAATGCAAAACCTCACAATGCAAAAAATCACTCACCAAAAAATCGACGAGCTTGATTGAAAACTTCTGCCCCACGCACCTTATAGTCCGGACCTGACCCCATCAGATTATTTTTTGTTTCGGTCGTTGAAGAGTTTTCTTATGGAAGAAAAGTTCGAGACTCATGCACAGATCAAAAAAAGCAGTCGACACTTATTTTGGCTCGAAAACTCCCCATTTTTTTGAGGATGGGATCAGGGACTTGGGACGAACATGAGAACAAATCATCAATCATAATGGAGAATATCTCATTGATTGATGTGCGTTTGTTTATGTTTTTAGCAATAAACAGTTTTGTGACAAAAACCGACATTACTTTTTCCTCAGCCTAATAATTACCTAAATCAATTCAAAGATTCATAAATTATTTAGGGCACTGGTGTGACTGTGCCCTAAATGAATGAATTCAGGAAACGATCTTCGATCCCTTCTCAAATCGATCTTCATTGTCAATCCCCACGATCGTTTCAGCGCCAATGAGTGCCTCAATTCAGCGTATCTGCAAGTGATGGAGGTTTGTAATTGAAATATGACTCAATTGACAATCGAAAGAATCATATTTCAACTTTAAAGTTTTACAATTTTCTTACAAACAACACCTTTTAGAAGAAGCTCCCGAAAAACGAGATTGCCGCCAATGATCTCACCAAGAAAAACGCTCGAGATCAGAAAATTCTATTGGAGACTCTGCATGCATTTTCTAAAAGAATTTAGGAATATTTTAATCGAATTTTTGATCTAAAAGAATAAAGAAATCTATTTTACCACAAAGCGCGCAGAATCTCATACTTGGCATGCAAAATTCTCGACTTCAACATCAAATTCATGATTTTAGTTCTCAAAACAATAAATTCTAAACTATTCCTCTTTCTATTAGCTCTTTCGGTACTTTTCTGTTATGTGGGCTCATTTCTCATAACGGCCGGTAGTTTTCTGGGCGTCTCTGGGGTTCTGCGAAGTGAAGGAACAAAAAGCACAGAGCACACTGCCAGGCACTTCCTTTCAAGCTATTTAGCCGAGTTTATTGTGCGACAAGAAGTTGGAGACAACCATATGTACGATTGGATCTTCTCGCTTATTTCAAATGCTTGCTTGTACTTGCAGCTTCTGATTAACATCAAAAGCCAGCCATAATAGACTAGGTAAACTCTTCTTTACACCATTTGTAGGTACTAACGTTATCTCAACGTTAGTACCCAAAAGTACCGTTAGTACCCTAACGTTGTCTAGCCCAGTTTTAGTCACCAATTATCCCATAAGTACTGGAATGGATTGGATCAGAATGGACTCGGTCACGTTTAATACACATCTAGCTACATATTTTAAATACACATAGCTACATATTTCTGATAAAACCAAATTTAGGCCTACTCAAAGCGTGAATTTAAACCATCTCTGAAACAAGAACTGAATTCAATGAAATACGTAGATTTTGATGCAACGCTAGAGCCAGAGATTTCAAAAGGATTCGAAAAGTCCTCAGTATCCGAAGATCTTCCAACCACTTCCATAAATTCTTCCTTATCTTCCAGTCACAACCATATCCGCCTTCCTCAATTGGTCACACTTTCCTCTCACTCCAATTCCTCCTCAATAATGTCAAGCAGTGAAAATATGACTCAAAATCTGTCAGATGTTGAGCAATTGCTTACAAGGAAAGGTGTGGCGAGCCAGATTCCAGAAATTGTTGTTTCTACCGCATCATCATCTAATCACAGTAGTATTAGTCTTCCGCATTCAGTCACTCTATCTACTTCAACAGCTTCAACAGATAATGATATCATTGAAAGGCTGGAATATGGGGAATTGGGAACAAAGGTTGAAAGCCAGGCTAAAACAAAACAACGTTCTCGCAGCTGACCAGTTGACTCAAAAGTTGATGGATCTATCAATAACGATCTCAAATGTTGTAGATACAATAGAACAGATTCAATGCCCCAGAACGGCCTCAGCGAGCGGAAAGGCTCAACTCTTGTCTTTGCCCGCTCAATCTCACTCGTTTAGAGAAATATCTCTTTTTTGAGACAATTTTTGAATATGAAAACTTCAAAATTGTTAAAAATTTTTGACTGTCATACAGTAGGGTAAACATTTAAACTGATGTACACTCTTCACTACTATGCCGCCACACATAAGCAAGACTTGAGGGATAAAGCTCAGACAGCGTTGAACCAGGTAATCAAGCAAACCAAATGCTTTCCACAAAGTTGATCATTGCAGGGACTTCCAATCTTTGTCCGTGAACGGTGGAAGCGTCTAGGTAAACATTTTGAGATGAAATCGACTACTTAAGGGTCAGTTGACTCTAAATTGTCTCTAAAGTCAAATGAGAAACAAAGTTCGTTCGTTTTACTTCTTTTCCCTCTTTTTTTCTTGTCAAAGTGTAACTTTTGCTTTACTTTCACACAAACAAATTTTGTGTAATTTTGGAAAAAAACTTTGTGCCCAGTGTCGGGTATTTAAGACAAATTTTGGTCTTCTTCAGTCAGAAATCTTTCGATCACTTGTTTTTCGTTAGATTCAACTATGGATTTTATTTGAAATCTTTCTTTTTTCAATCCTTAGCAAATCGAATTTGATTTTTTAGATGCTTTCCAAATGCCTCTTGTATGTGTTCGCGATCGGACTACAAGCCGCCGCTCCTCCATACGGCCAACTCTCAGTTGTAGGCAAGTTTTCGATGCCAATTGATACCAATTTGATACCAAATTCGACATTTAAGTTTACCAATTAAAAGCTGAAAGTTTACAATAAACAATCTTAGGGTGATAGGCAATAGAAAATAGATAGCCATCGATAGATTAGTTTCACAGCTTCAGAAATAATCTCAAAAGGGAATAAGGTAAAGTAAACGGCATTCAAGAGTTGGAACTAAAGCTTCATGCTTTGACTTTGATTAAGATTAACGATTAATGATTAACGATTAATGATTAACGATTAATGATTAATGATTAACGACTAATGATTAATGTTTAATGACTTTGATTACTTTATTCGAAAGTTGAAAGCTACTTAAACAAATGAGGTAGCTGAAAGTATATTAGCAATCTTGGAATAATACGGATAGATTTAGATTCTCAAATTAGATTTAGATTCTCAAACAGTTTTTACCAACAAACGGACTAGATATAAGACTTTTTATACCCGTTTTAATGTAACTTTGCAGAAGAATAATTGATCTTTTTAAGGAAATAAACCGTAGTTCAACTAATGTCTTTGTTGGTTTTAAACAGAAGCACGAAAAGGAACGAAAAGAATTATTTGCCAACTAAATAGTACAATAGCTAGGCTTTTGCAAAATCTACCGGGAAAAGACTACCCTAAGCTCTTTTGCTGCCTACCATAAACTCTCCAATTCTAGGCAAAAACCTTGTCGGTGCAAATGGACAAAAAGTCGCACTACATGGAATGTCCCTTTTCTGGTCTCAATGGACTGAGGGATCCACTTTCTACAATAAGGCTACTATTCAAGTATTAGACTTTTGGCGTATCGATTATCCATCCGTTTCAGGCTTTGAAATGCTCTTGGAACGCGAATGTCGTCCGTGCGGCGATGGGTGTCGAAGCGAAACAGGGCGGATACTTGAATAATCCGACCACACGAAAGGCTGAACTGGCCAAGCTCTACGCAGTTGTGGATGCCGCAATTGATGCGGGGATTTATGTGATCATTGATTGGCATGATCACAATGCACAAGTTAGTTCAGCTGTTAGACCCTAAAGTTCCAGGTAAGAGCTCAGCCTGAAGCCAGGTCCAGATCTGACTTTCCAGGTCAAGCCTGAAGCCAGGGAGACCTCGGATCCAGGTTCTTGTGCTCCGGGCCCGAAGCAAAGTCAACCCAAGTCCGAGGGTTGACTTCATTTCAGATCTGGGTGTACTAAAGCCAGGTCTGGCCTTGGACTTGTTTTGCCAGAAAAGTTACTCTTGCAATTCTAGAACCATGCCAGCGCAGCAGTCTCTTTCTTCTCAGCCGTTTCCCAAAAATACGCCTCCTATCCAAATGTCATCTACGAGACTTTCAACGAACCTCTACAAGTTGATTGGACGACTGTCATCAAGCCTTATCATCAACAAGTTGTCAACGCAATCCGGGCAAATGATCAAAAAAATGTTATCATTTTGGGAACACCAACATGGTCACAGGTAGAGAGAGTAAAAGTCCAATACTAAAAGCGATTAGGATGTTGATGTGGCTGCTGGTAATCCATTGAGTGGAAGCAATTTGATGTACACTCTTCACTACTATGCTGCCACACATAAGCAATACTTGAGGGATAAAGCTCAGACGGCGTTGAACCAGGTAATCAAGCAAACTAATTGCTTTCAACAAAGTTGATCATTGTAGGGACTTCCAATCTTTGTCACTGAATACGGAACGGTGGAACATACTGGTGATGGCCAAGTTGATCAACAATCATCCAATGATTGGTACACTTTCTTGGAGGACAACAAAATTTCCTATGTCAACTGGGCTATTTCGGACAAAGCTGAAGGATCTGCAGCTCTTAAACCGGGAACCACAGCACAGCAAGTCGGAGATGACTCTCGTCTAACCACTTCCGGGCGATTCGTAAAGAACAGAATGAGAGATCAAGAAAATGGTTGGCTAATCAGAAAATCTTGCAAGTGAATTGGAATTTAGGAATTGCTTGCTCCGGTGTCTCGAACCCACGACAAACATCGCCGCCTCAAACCAATCGACCGAATACAACTCCTCGTCGTAAAAATGGCTCATCTGGTCTCCTCGTCTCAGTCGTATCAGTCAACTCTTGGGGTAACGGAGCTCAATATAAATTGGTTTTCCAAAACACTGGCTCTCATGCGATCTGTGGAGCCACTTTCCAGCTCAATTTAAATGGGGTAAGTGTTTTAAAGCCAAGATTTGAAGAATTCAGAAGCCATAGCTTTATCAACTTCTTTACAGCTCAACAGGGACAATCACTGGAACTTTGATCCAAGCGGCAGTGCCTGGGTTTTGCCTTCTTGGGTGAACATTCAACCATCAGGAACTTATCAAGATTCTGGATTTGTCGGATCGGGAACTGGCACTCCTTCAGCTTCAGTCATTAGCTATACAAAGTGCTAAAGAAAATTAGTCGTTTGATTTCAAGCCATTTGTACAAATATAAAGCATGGAGAGTAATAAAACATCAAGAATTGATAAAACACACAAGAAAGAAGGCTGTTTGCATATCGATTTGAATTCTCAAATCACTTCCAAATCAATCTCAATCTTCAGCCATTGCACCGGTTTCGGTTTAACGGTATAAACTAGGATCTTCTCAAGGGATCTCTCCCAAACCTGCACAACTGAGTGATTTTCGAGTAGATTCAACCGGCTGGGCAAAATTATCATCGATGGCTTCATAATACGAGCAGTAGCAGAGCCTGGTTGCCGTGCATTCAGCTACACTCCATTTCCCTTTCTACCTCAGAAAAAGTGGTTTTGAAGAAAAAAAAGTGCCCCCGAACCTTAATAGCGCCGAAAACATTTACGATTCATTGGCTCTAACGTACTCAATTCCACTTTTAAGTGATTTAAAAAGTATTTGGTCTCGTGAAGTTGGCTTAAATAGCTCTACTAGTTCCAATGATAAGAACTACTGTAGCTAATTATGACAATATCAATTCAATGTTTAAGATATCTGTGATCTAATTCTTCTAAACGTTAAAGACTTCAAATCTATCAACTTTTACCGTCTACAGTTGTCCTTACCAAACCCGATTGAACAAAGATGCTTGCCTTTACTTAAAACTGGATACAAGTGTTTGAACTATACAGTTTGCAGCTCAAAAAAAATCCTTATCTTCAAAATTCAGACTTGTCGGAGACATGTGAGCCATATTGGACTGGAACTTGGAAATAACACAGCAATGGGACAAGCATTGAACACTTGTGAAGACGGTGAGGACAACTTTAGAAGGTAAAAGTTGATAGATTTGGAGTCTTTAACGCTTAGAAGAATTGTGCTGTACTCATTGAATCATTTTTGGATTTCAATTCAGTTTTAAGAAACACAGATACACAGGTACAAGATTGCAAAGTTCATAGTTTATTTATGCGGCTTTTGAGGTTACAAAGTCTGTTTGTTATCTAAGAAAACGTAACTAGACTGTTATTGAAACTATAATGAGCTGGTGCTTAGAATTTTTATGTCTACACACAATTTTGTCTCATTTTGCTGAATTAACCTTTTGCAAGTTTTGTGATAAGAAAAACGCTTGCTAGCTTCAAAAACTTCTGCCAATTTCGTTTCGTTCCGAAATTTTCTGAAATTTGCATTTCGATCCACTGAAAATATACAATAATATATAGAAAATGAACTTCAAAGATGGCTTTAAAGTACAAACAACGTGTGGCAATCAAAAGTATCGATTTGTTCAAGTGAATACTAAATGGTGAGCTGTTTGAAATGAATGAATAAATGTTTTTTAACTACTTTGCTTCATAACCTGTCTTTCATTGTAAATCCAATTCAGCCAAATCGCTATGAAATGCTTTGTGATCAACGGAGGCGATCCTCTAATGTCTAAACAAAATCTTGCCGCTGTTACGCAAGAATTGAGGGCATTGAAGATGCTGATTCACAAAAACATCGTCGAATTCAAAGGCCACTTTGAACATCAAGAGAATCACAATCACTATCAAGTGATTGTTCTTGAATATTTGCCGAATGGATCATTAGATGAAGGTTAGTTTGGCTGGCTTAAGCTGATGGCTGGCTTATGCTGATGGCTGGCTTATGCTGACAAACTTGCTTTAAAAAAACTTTAGTAATCTTCAATCCAAACTACAGCTTCACCGATCACACGGTGATTGAATGGTCGATTGATACTTTTGAAGGCCTTACCTTTATGCACTCAAAGAATATCCGACATGGAGATGTTAAACCAGCAAAGTTTGAAAAGCTATTCCTATTTATTATGAAAAACTGTCCCCATTACAGTTTATTTTTGACTATTGATTTTCGCATCAAACTTGGGGATTTCGATTTAACGCGAATCGAGGAAGAGTCAGGTTGCACGGAGAGACAACAAGGCACTGAACGGTACCGAGCGCCCGAGTTGTGGAAAAAGAGATTTGTGAGTGATGTTTGGGTACTTACAGTTGATACTTACAGTTGATACTTACAGTTGGTACTTACAGTTGGTACTTACAGCTGGTACTTACAGCTGGTACTTGCAATTGGTACTTACAGTTGATACTTACAGTTGGTACTTACAGCTGGTACTTACAGCTGGTACTTACAGCTGGTACTTACAATTGGTACTTACTGTTGATACTTACAGTTGATAGCAGCTTCTGATTAACATCAAAAGCCAGTAATAATAGACTAGGTAAACTCTTCTTTACACCATTTTTCTTTTGGGTACTAACGTTGTCTCAACGCTAGCCCATTCCTAGTCACCAGTTATCCCATAAGTATTGGAATGGATTGGATCAGAATGGACTCCGTCACGTCTAATACACATCTAATTACACATTTTACAGGAAATTTTAGTTTATTGACTTATATTAAATACTTAGAATAGTCGACGCAATGATGTCTGGTCAACCGGTGTGGTTATGTGGGAGATGTTCGCTAGAAAGTTGGTCTCAAATTAACTAAAGAGATTAAGCTAAGATAAAAAAGAGATTTTATAGAAAAAGATTTTCTAAATAGCCTTAAAACTAGCTGTTACAGTACTTTTCTTGAAGAATTGCAAAAAAAATTGCATAAGATTTGGAATTCGTGGCGCCGCCATGACGTGGCGAACCAAAGAGCGCCACATGACGTGGCGCTCTTTGGTTCGATTTTCTGGTACATACTAGGTCATTCTGACCTGATCAGAATTGCGTTGCGTCAGGAAAAATAAAACCTCTAATCATTTTCGATTTTATTGATCCCATTTTAGACACTGTTTCAAAAAGGAATCAGGGCAAGGAAGATTGGAAGAATTGAGTCGAAAATGGGAACTGAAACCACCAAAACTAGAAACTGATCATCCATTTGCGGGGATTGTGAGAAAGTAAGAGACCAAAGTTGGCAATAAATGGCCCGATTAGGTGTTTGATTCAAAATGTGACCCGTCGACCGGTAGCGAGTGAGATCCACGAGGATTTGTTGTCCATTCAAGTGGTAAGGCTTTATTATAGCTTTGCACATAGGTAGATAGAATTCAGTGAACTAATTTTCAAGTGTAATTACTAAAACTTATGCAGATTTATATCAACCATAGCGCAGGAATCAAGAATAGTCATTACTCTAACAGATACTTGTTTCAGAGGAGATTTTCCGGCTCACTATCAAATCAGGAACTGACTTGAGCTTGAGCAAACGAGAAAATCTTTCTAGAAGTCTGATAAAACCAAATTTAGGCCTATGTGAGCGACTACTCAAAGCGAGAATTTAAACCATTTGCGAAACAAGAGCCAACTTCAATGAAACACCTAGATTTTGATGCGATGCTAGAGCCAGAGATTCCAAAAGGATTCGAAAAGTCCTCAGTATCCGAAGATCTTCCAACCACTTCCATAAATTCTTCCTTATCTTCCAGTCACAAACATATCAGTCTTACTCCATTCGTCACACTTTCCACTCACTCCAATTCCTCCTCAATGATGTCAACCAGTGAAAATATGACTCAAAAGCTGTCAGATGTTGAGCAATTGCTTACAAGGAAAGGTGTGGCGAGCCAGATTCCAGATATTGTTGTTTCTACTTCATCATCTTCTAATCACAGTAGTATTAGTCTTCCGCATTCAGTCACTCTATCTACTTCAACAGCTTCAACGGATAATGATATCATTGAAAGGCTGGAAGATGGAGAATTGGGAGTAAAGGTTGAAAGCCAGGTGCTAAAACAAAACAACGTTCTCGCAGCTGACCAGTTGACTCAAAAGTTGATGGATCTATCAATAACGATCTCAAATGTTGTAGATACAATAGAACAGATTCAATGCCCCAGAACGGCTTCAGCGAGCGGAAAGGCTCAACTCTCGTCTTTGCCAGCTCAATCTAACCCCAGCAGTGATTTTTGGGAAACAATCTTGCAGCAATTAATCCAGCTCATTTTCATGATCAATAAAAAGCGTCAAAGAGCTGATATCAATCGTGAGATTTCTTTGATTCTATCAGAAAAGCTGCGCCAACTGATTTGGCAAATGAAAGAAGAAACTGGTGAAGAAGAGTCTCCATCAACGAGTTTCTGAAGCATCAGAAACATGATGTGCTTTGGCAAGATGAATAAACTGTTAATCGATGAAATTTTTCAAATGTAAAGCTGTTTTTAAACTCTTTTAAATGATTGGCTTTAATGAATCGAGATTGTTGGGTATTGAGTATAAAAGTCACGAATAAAATTGCCTTTACCGTAAATACTGTAATAGTCGCCCACCCCCATAATGACGGTGCGGAGTGTTGCGTAGTCTTTGCTTTGAACGAGTTTTTCTCGACACTGGTTTATGCTACAAAGCGGGCTTGGGTATCAAAAAATAGCCCTTAATTTCAGCTATTTTTTGATACCAAAGACGCATTTTTTGAAAGTACGGGCGCTTTGACAAAAAATTAAATACTAAAAAACTTTTGCGACTACGCGACTGTACGAGGGCGGTGGGGTACTACTACAGTAGTTACGGTAACTTTACTTAAAACAATTAAAACAACAATTAAAACAACAATTAAAACAAAACAATAAAACAAACAATCGTTTTGTTACATTTGAACGTTTTGTTTTGTTCGACAATTAGAAGTATAGAAGCCAAAAAGCAATTCGAAAATTTCGAATACAACAAACAAACAAAGATCGATACAATTTATCATTCAAAAAGTAGCACTATTTACAGAAAGTTTTACAAAGCATAAGCTTCTCGGGATATATTTACAAAAAACGCTGCCCAGTTCCGTAATTTATACAAGAAATGATACAGTAATACAGTGTGTGAAAAACAAGCGAAGATAGGTGTAAAGTGTGGATAAAGGTTTCCTAGGCAAATCACACGGCACAGTACGGCTTGCAAATGCAAGTGGCAACCGTCCACGACATTTCACAATGCCCAGTGGTGTAGCGCTTTCCCGTGCACGAGCTGACCATTCCCTGGCACTTCTTGCGGCACGCGTCACCGCCATTCCATTGCAGACATGTGGCCCGTTTCACGCGATCGGCGCGGAGCTCCGTCTCTCTATTCGCCTGAATCAACTTAGCTTGAGCTTTTCTGTTATATGTCTGATTTTCATCTCTTCAGTTCAATACAACATTCCCTTGTGAATTGCCAGTTTAAGAATGCAAAAGAGGTCGAGATTTGAGTGACCGACTTCTTTCAATCATAGAATCAAGAGTTCTTCGATAAGCGGGTCCGCAATCTCAACACAACTTTGGAGGGATTTTATAGAAAACGATGGTGCTTATTGTTTGGGATAAATTTTTGCCTAAAGAAATTTTCATTGAATTTAATGTTTGCAAAGGAAAAAACGAAATACAAGACCAGCATTATGGTCTGACTTTAGCGCGCAGTGCTTTAGTGCTCAATTCTTCATCAAAACATAATTGTTGAGAATTTGTTCTCAAAAAAAACGCTTTCACCAGTTTATAAACAATTCTGGAAAGCATTTGTTTATCATGAAATTTTCCGGAAAAACAGGAAATTGATAAAGATCAAGGGAAATATTGAAATTATTTCTTTAAAAATGTTTTATCACCTATTCACTATTGGATATTTGATAGCAAATGTAAAATGTTTGTTTTTTTAAAAACTTTTCTTATAAAATTTAAAAATTTAGCTTTTCCTGTATCAGCCTCAACTCCAATTGATCGATTTGCGAAAGATTTTCTTTTCCAATTTGGATATTATGAGAATCATTTGGGATATGGAGAAGATGTGAAAAATAATGAAGAAATGACGAGAAAAGCAATTAGGTTAGTGGACTTTAAGCTTTTGTAGACGCTCCCTTTCTGGCAGACCACAACTTTTCTGGCAGACCACAACTTACCTTGAAACCCGGTTCAATTACCCAACTTTTGAGAAACTGACTAGTTGGTGTACTTTGTGCTCAAGCTCATTTGTAAACGCATCCTTTCTGATGCACTGAATTCTTCATTTTTCTTACAACAAGACTTTGCTGTTTTGAGAAACATGAAGAATTTGCTGTGCCAGAAAGGGTGCGTTTACAAATCTGAGCATAAAATACACCCAAATGGACCTGGAGCAGCTGGAGCAGCTAAAATTGAGTAACTAAAACGGGGTTTTAAAAGTAAGGACAGCTGAGTGCACCAGGAAGAAAAGTCTCCAAATTAGAGCACAAAGTACAGCTACAGCTCGAAGAATTTTTGCATACACTTAGTAGCCTTTGAGAAACGTGGGCAACTGAACCAAAGTAGTCAGGTAACTGAATCAAAGTAGTCTGGTAACTGAATCAAAGTAGTCTGGTAACTGAATCAAAGTAGTCAGGTAACTGAACCAAAGTAGTCAGGCAACTGAATCAAAGTAGTCTGGTAACTGAACCAAAGTAGTCAGGTAACTGAACCAAAGTAGTCAGGCAACTGAATCAAAGTAGTCTGGTAACTGAACCAAAGTAGTCTGGTAACTGAACCAAAGTAGTCTGGTAACTGAATCAAAGTAGTCAGGTAACTGAACCAAAGTAGTCAGGTAACTGTATTCTGTGCAACCTTGTTCTGGCGCATCCTCAATTCTTCTTTTCCAGGCGATTTCAAAAGAATTTTAATCTTCCGTTGACTGGTTTACTTGATGAGATAACAAGAAAAGAAATGAAAAAACCGAGATGTGGAGTAAAAGAAATTCTACGGAATCCGATAATGAATAACAAGCTACGGTATTTCGTAATGAATAGCCGGCCATTGGATCTCGAAAGGGAAAGCAGATTTGAAGACAAGAATTTGACATATTCGATTGAGAAATTTAGTGAGAATGTGACGAAGGAGGAGATCAGGTGGGGCATATTAGATTGTCCCATAAAAATTCATAAAAGATTTTTAATTTCATTTATTTTCAACACATAGAAACAACAAAGAATCAGAATATTAACCAATTTCTATTCCAAATGTTGTTTTTCTAGGTAATTTGAGGGTGTCGAATTCAAATTTTGACATAACAGAGCGTGTGGAACCAATTTGAAAGACAAATGGATCAAATTAGATTAGATAGATCAAATTACAGAAAATTGTCGCTTTTTCTCTTTGTATAACTCCGTCCGTTTGTTTCCACAAGCTCTGATATGTCAAAATTTGAATTCGACACCCTCAAATTATCTAGAAAAACAACTTTTGGAATAGAAATTGGTTAATATTAGCTTTTTAGAGCTTTTTTAAAACGCGAAAAAAGGTGCGCTAATGGGCAAGGTGCGGAAAAAAAAGGTAGCATTTGTCCCACTCCCGAAACTAGCCTACCCCCAATTAAAAAGTTGCTTAAAGTAGTGCGTTTATGTTATGGTAATTAAAGATATTCAGTCAAAGAAATAAATATTGTTATTTGTTTTTTGCTCTCGTGGAATCATTTTTCTTTTTAGCGAAGTCGTTTTTCGGGTCTATCCCAAAACAGCGCCGCCAAAACAGCGCCGTACCCAAGACAGCGCCACCCAAAACAGCGCCAATGCAAAAACGCCCAAAACAGCGACGAATAAAAAACATTATTTTATAGATTTTTTCTTTTGCTTTTTCTTTGCTGTTTTGAACTTTTTCTGTCCACTTTTTGTGTTTTTAGGGTAAAAAAAGGCGGAGAATCCGGTTTTTTAAGCTTTACGCATAGAAACCTGCGATAGCGTTTATAAAATTGATTTTAACCAAAAATAACAATTTTTTCCTTTTACGGCCTGTTTTTTAACGTTTTCACTAACTTTTTTTTTCTACTACGGATCACTTGAAAGCTCTAGCCGTTTATGTTCATCATCGCTAGTGTTATGATGTTTCAGAGTCTCTTGGACTATTAATTTCATGCTATTTTAATGTTTTTTATGCATCGTTTAATTGTTATCGTTTATTGTTGTTGGTCATGTTATTTTTAAATAAATTATCAAAATTAAAAGCTGCTAATAAAAAAAAATGAGTGTACATTGTAAAAGAAAAAAACTTTGTTTTGCATCGGCGCTGTTTTGGGCGTTTTTCATTGGCGCTGTTTTGGGTACGGCGCTATTTTGGGTGGCGCTGTTTTGGTCGGCGCTATTTTGGTCGGCGCTATTTTGGCGGCGCTGTTTTGGGATAGACCCCGTTTTTCTTCTAAGTTATTAAAAATAAAGATAAATTATAGTTTATCTAAACGCACTTGAAAGTCTTCACACAAGGGTTAGTTACTACTACTTTGCCGTCTCTTTTCAGAGCCGCTGCTCGTTTAGCCTTCGACAAATGGGAAGAGGTGACTCCTCTGCAATTTCACGAGGTTCCATCAAATGGAACACTTAAAGTAAATATTTCTTAATGGTTTCAAGCCAAAAATTTTCAGCTCAGCTTCGAGATAGGCGCTCACAAACGACCCGGTTATTTGTGTGATCCATTTGATGCTGATGGTATGCTTCTAAGCTTTGTAGTGCAAGTTATCACAGACAGAGATTCTAGGCTTATTGCTCTTACTGTAAGTCTTACTGAACGGCTTAATGTAGGTCTTACTGCAGAATTCGACTGCTCACAGCTCAAGACAAGGTATCCCAGTCAGGGATGTTTCAGCCAGGCTCTAGAGTCAGGCCAAACCTAGACACGGTCAGTGTATGGGCGGAGGCCAACTAGCCAGGTCTTTCAGAACTAGGTCACCAAGACCTGGCTTCTTTATGAAAGCCTCAACTATGTCATACACCTTCAACTTAATCTCAGGCCCAGTCTATGCCCATACCCTCGAGAAACTCGGTCTTGTTCATTTCAATGATGAGAAGCAATGGACCTTTCGGAACCAGAGACAGATTGTGTGAGTGAGCAATAATGGTATTCTTCCCAAGGCTTCTGTTTTTTAAAAATCCTTTCCCATCAGCCTTCAAGGCCGTAAGCCTGATTTGCAAATTTTAGAGTCAGAAGTCAGGTCAGCTCTATTAACCTTTTTACATTTCAGAAGCGGCTTCCTCGACTTGATCGCCGTTGCAGTACACGAGATCGGCCATGCAATCGGGCTCAATCATTTGCCAAATCCCGATGCAATCATGTATTCGGTCTATGATACGGTGAATAATATTGTACTATAGATATACAGTCGAACTTCGGTATAACGAGCCTCAAGGGACCGACCAAAAAGTTTATATCAAAGTGTTCGTTGTATTGAAGGCCATTTATTTCACAGAAAGCTCTTGGTCGGTTTGTACTAGTTTTCAAGAGAAGGTTCAGACAAATGACTATAATAGTTAAGTTTATCTTTGAATGTTAAAAAAATAATCAGTAGCTACGACTACATGACTGTACGGTCAAAATAGCCTCTTCGCGAATGTGTTAATACTAAAGCTATTATAGAAAAGAGAATGCATTGATTTCGTTTTGAAATTTTCAGGAAATCAGACGTAACGGGAAATACGTTGAACCAAAGTTACATCAGGATGACATTGACGCTGCTCAAAGAGTTCATGGGAGTAAAACAACCGCCACTACAGCCGGTACACATCTTCAGAGATTTATGGCTATGATTTTAGATGAAAGATCAACAACAACACCTACAACAAGTACTACTCCAACAACAACGTCAGCTACTGCAGCTACAAGTGCTACTCTTCCAGCTACAATCAGCGCAACAAGTGCAACAACTATTACTTCAACTACAACTACAACTATTACTACAGATGCAGGTTTTGGTGAATGAAACTTTAACTTTAGATATGTATTAGATATCCAAAACTAAACGAAAACAAACTCTGTTCAGTTTTCGGACGTATCAGACGTCCGATATTGAAGAAAAATTTTCGTTTCGTTTCGGACGTCTGTTTGACACGTTTGGAACAGAAAGCTTGTTTCATTTCGAGCGTGACAGATATAATTCCAGCCACTACAGTAGCCACAAAAATTGCTACTCCTTCTACTCCAGCCGAAACAACTAAAGCCTCACCGAACCGAGTCTCATCGTCTTCTTGTCCAACAAAAATCGATCATTTCTTTGCAGGTTTATTCAATATTGATAATGTCAAGAGGGTTGTAAATTCAAAATCTAAATGAAATTCAAAGAAATCAAGGCAATCAACAAAGTTTCAGTAGCAGACCAGGAATTTATTGTTGATGGAGCACAGCTTTTTCAGCTAGATCATTGGAGGATTGAAAAGGTGAAAAGTCAATGAAGATTAGAGCACATTTCCTAAAAAGCATTTATTCTAGAAAACTATCGTAATCTGCCCGCTAGTTTCCATTCGATCAGACTCAATTTGGTATCATTCGATGAGGAATCAAACGGCTCAGTTCAATGATATCGAAATTGAGCTGTTAGAAGGGAAACTGGTGCTTTGATTACGATAATATTCTAGAATAGGTGCATTTTAGAAAATTGACCATATTGAAACTTCCAGGTTTTGCCGATTCACAAAGTTTTCCCCAAAATCCCCCAAAATATTGATGCTATCGTTTTCGAGCCAATCAACAGGAAAGTAATCTTTTTCACGAGAACTGAGGTTTTTCCAGAGTATCAAATAAGACTTATACCTCTCCCAGAATGGTTCTTATGCTTATATCTACTTCTTCAGTCTACATTTCAATGAATATTTGAGAGAATATGAGCGATTAGTGCGTGGCTATCCGACCAATGTCACTGGAGCTATTCAAGCCTCGAACGGAAAGATTTTGCTCGTTGATGTAAGTTTGGACTGGTCAAGGAACAAAGCTAATCAAATGCTAAGCTTGGACAAGGGTAGACTTGGGTTTTGATGTGGTCAAGTATCCAGAAGTATAGAAAAACAAAGGGTCAGTCCAGGCCTGCGTTTTAATCAGATACGGAAGGAGTTCAGACCAATGTTCCTAACATTTAGCAAGCTTGGATCACAGAGCAAGCCAGTTCTTGAGTAGTCAGTCTAGAGAGGCTGGTCGCCAACTAGTAAAGCATTGCATTCTATACAATACCATTTCAGCAAAACAGCAATTTATTCGAACTCAATGTGATCACATTCAACGTGACCGTTTATCAGGGAAAAGATTTTCGATCGTTTCCACGAAATGTCAGGGTTGGGAAACTGATAATTCGAATTGTTAGCATTTTCTATTAGGGGGCTTTTCAACTCACCGATGAAATCTATCTCTTGATGAAACCCCGAGAATTCATCGTTTACAATCGAGTGACAACCGATGCCGAAGGGAATTCCATCATAGAACTGATGTGTTAGTTGTACTTTATGCTCTTATGCACTCTTTCTAGCGCACTGAATCCTTCACTTTTCTCATGGAAATGATTCGATGTCACGAGAAGATCTGAGTGTGCCAGAAAGGGTCGTTTACAAGGATCAAAGTGTACCTAAAATCTGTAGTAGTTTGTAGTTTCTGATCTGATGTAAAAGCACTCTTTCTGGTGCACTGAATTCCTCATTTTTCTTGACATAAAGTCGTCTCATCTAGAATCTAGAAAAATTGGGGAAATGAACCGACTTCTTAAGCAAAAGCTGAATTCAGTTTGACAGAAATGATGTGTTTACATGCACAAAGTACAGCACAAAATTCTATTGCCGATTGTTGAGTTCAAAAGTGTATTTGTATAGAAATTTGCTGTTTTTGTCTTCTTTTATGATTTCATTGAATATTTTTATGCACAGAAAGAAATCAGAAATAATTAGAAATCGATAATGTTTCAAGCTTTAAATGGAATATTGTTGAAAAACAGTTGATCAAAGAAAAATCCCAATTACAAACAATTCTGAAAAGTAATCGCTTTACGTTTAATATCGATAGGCATCTCGTTCAGCCACTCGTTCCCCGGTTTCCGTATTCCTTAGCCCATCCAATCCCTCTTGTGTCAACTCGGCGCCTGTTCGAGTGTCGATTCCAACCTTGAATTCGAAATCATACTTCGTTCCTGTTGCTCTTGGGTACGTAACTTTAAAACACAACAGGATTTTCTCATCTAAGCCCTCCCCCCTGTGGCGAATTGCCACTGCTCTGCAGTTAGTCAAAAAATTGGGTCTATCCCAAAACAGCGCCGCCAAAACAGCGCCGACCAAAACAGCGCCACCCAAAATAGCGCCGTACCCAAAACAGCGCCAATGAAAAACGCCCAAAACAGCGCTGATGCAAAACACAGTTTTTTTTTCTTTTCCAATGTACACTCATTTTTTTTATTAGCGGCTATTAATTTTGATAATTTATTTAAAAATAACATGACCAACAACAATAAACGATAACAATTAAACGATGCATAAAAAACATTAAAATAGCATGAAATTAATAGTCCAAGAGACTCTGAAACATCATAACACTAGCGATGATGAACATAAACGGTTAGAGCTTTCAAGTGATCCGTAGTAGAAATAAAAAGTTAATGAAAACGTTAAAAAACAGGCCGTAAAAGGAAAAAAATTGTTATTTTTGGTTAAAATCAATTTTATAAACGCTATCGCAGGTTTCTATGGGTAAAGGCTTTAAAAAATCGAAAAAATCGGATTCTCCGCCTTTTTTTTTACCCTAAAAACACAAAAAGTGGACAGAAAAAGTTAAAAACAGCAAAGAAAAAGCAAAAGAAAAAATCTATAAAATAATGTTTTTTACTCGTCGCTGTTTTGGGCGTTTTTGCATTGGCGCTGTTTTGGTCGGCCTTGTTTTGGCGGCACTGTTTTGGTCGGCGCTGTTTTGGCGGCGCTGTTTTGGGATAGACCCAAAAAATTCAATACAAGTTAACATTCAAAGTTGATGGATAAACTACCGTAATCAGTCACTAGACGATATTCAGCTGTCCGTTTGTTGTAGCTTGTATACGTAAAAACCGGTTATTTAAGCTTTGTTTTTGAGTGAGTTCTTTTGTCTTCTCCATTTTTTTGGCTTTTTGATCATCCTGTTTTCACATTCAAGTGTTGATTTAATTGTGATAGTGCCAAGTTGCTCCAGTTTAAGCGAAGTTGCCCTAATAAGGGAAAGTTGGATAAATTGTGCGTTTTCAAGAAGACCACTATTGAACCACACCGAGACACGGTCTCAAAAGAAATTATATAGATCAAAACATCAACATATATTTCTTACACCCCCCTCCAAAAAATAATTTGACATAAAGAATGTTATAAGCCGTAAAGTTTGTGTGTCTGGTCACTTCATCTCCAGTGATTTCGTTTTGATTTTTTTTTAAATATATTAGGTACATGGATATGAAATGCGGATTTCAACATTTTTCTAAATTTCCAACGATAGAAACCTCGAAATCGATGAATGTTATATACTATTTGAACTAAATAGTTGAACTAAACTATTTGAATGTTATAAACTATTTGAAAGTTGTAAATCTCCTCTACAAAATAGGCTAAAACGTGTTTCAATTGATCGAACCATTGAAGAAATTTCGAGGGCGAAGTGTAAGTGACCAAAAAAAAGAATCGACTTTAGGCACAATTTTAGTGTGGTTAAAATAGAGTTAGCTTCCTAAAATTGAAGATTTAAAAAAAAAGGATAACTGTATATCAATTCATTAAAAAAGTCAAACGGAAATGCATTTACAGAAATTTAGATAGAGCGTAAGTTCAAAACCCTCAAAATTGTCAAAAAAAACCCGGCTTTTTCACAAAAAAAGAAAAATTATTGTAAAAACAAAGTTTTCCCATGAAATGATCCCAACTCTTGATTATTTTGAATGATATTTTAGGGCGGTTTTATTGATATTTATGCGGTTTTTATGAAAACTCTCAAGACAATACAAGACAAAGCCTTCAAAGTCTCTTTTATTGGCATCATCAGCATTTATAAACGAAAATTAAACTTAAATCGCTTGATTTACTCCAGTTTTTTCATTTTCACGTGATTGTTCTTGAATTGGATCACCACTTTTCCTCTCCCGTTTGTCCACAACATCGGCTTTACTAATCCGATCACGAGCAACCTGAAAAGTCTAAGGTATCAAAAAATAAAACTATATCTCATATCTGAATGTCACAAATAACAATTCTTTTATTCTATTTTTGTTGCCAGTTAAGCTTTTCTTGTCATTTTACAAACAAAACGAGCAAACAGTTAGATGACTAATAGCAAAATGCTTGTTTGAAATTGATTCATTATCTGTTATCAGAGAGGGAGAGAGTTTGAAAATTGATGATCTCTCAATAAAAGTGATTTCCCGAAAAAAAAGGTGAGCAAAAAGATGATTTCAACGGCATTCAAGAGTTGTAACTAAATAATACAAGTCTAGATCTAACTTAAACATCTAAAAGCTTTTAAGATGATTTGGCTTTAAGCTGATTTGGCTTTAAGATGATTTGGCTTTAAGCTGATTTGGCTTTAAGATGATTTGGCTTTAAGCTGATTTGGCTTTAAGATGATTTGGCTTTAAGATGATTTGGCTTTAAGCTGATTTGGCTTTAAGCTGGTTTGGCTTTAAGATGATTTGGCTTTAAGCTGGTTTGGCTTTAAGCTGGTTTGGCTTTAAGCTGGTTTGGCTTTAAGATGATTTGGCTTTAAGCTGATTTGGCTTTAAGATGACTTGAAGAGACTTTAAGATACCTTAAGAAACTTTAAGATAACTTTAAAATGATTCTAAAAAACTTTAAAATGACTTTAAGATGATTCAAAAAAGATGATTCCAAGAAATAACAAAAGTCTATTTGCTTTAAGCACTCTTTACAATATAAAATCTTTATTTCTATCAAAACTTACAGTTTATCTTTCTATTTTAAAGATTTTCTTTCACAATTGAGCTTTTTAAAGTCATTCTTTAAATTTAAAGTCATTCTTTCTCATTAAAAGACTCAATATCATCTTTTCTTTCTTAAAAACTATTCTTTGATGTCATTCTTTCTCATTAAAAGAGTTAATATCGTTTTTTTTTTCTTAAAAACTATTCTTTGATGTCGTTTAGAGGAATATCTCATTTTGAGACAATTTTTGAACATGAAAACTTCAAAATTGTTAGAAATTTTTGACTGTCGAACAGCTGCGTAAACATTTTCAAATGAAATCGGCTAATTGAGGGTCAGTTGACTCTAAATTGTCTCTAAAATAAAATGAGAATCAGAGGTCGTTCGTTTTTCTTCTTTTCTTCTTCTTTTCTCCTTCTTTTCCCTCTTTTTTTTCTTGTCAACGTGTAATTTTTGCTTTACTTTCAAGCAAACAAATTTTGTGTAGTTTTGGAAAAAAACTTTGTGCCCAGCGCCGGGTATTTAAGGCAAATTTTGGCCTTCTTTAGTCAGAAATCTTTGGATAAATGATTTTTCGTTAGCTCCAACTCTCGATTTTATTTGAAATCTTTCTTTTTTTCAATCCTTGGCAAATCGAATTTGATTTTTTTAGATGCTTTCCAAGTGCCTCTTGTATGTGTTCGCGATCGGGCTACAAGCCGCCGCTCCTCCATACGGCCAACTCTCAGTTGTAGGCAAGTTTTCGATGCCAATTGATACCAATTTGATACCAAATTCGGCATTTAAGTTTACCAATTAAAAGCTGAAAGTTTACAATCAACAATCTTAGGGTAATAGGCAATAGAAAATAGATAACCATCAATAGATTCGTTTCACTTAAACAGCTTCCGAAATAATCTCAAAAGGGAATATGGTAAAGTAAACGGCATTCAAGAGTTGTAACTAAAGTTTGCCTTTGATTAAGATTAATGATTAATGATTAACGATTAATGATTAATGACTTTGATTACTTTATTCGAAAGTTGAAAGCTACTTAAACAATCTGAAAGTATATTAGCAATCTTGGAATAATAAGGATAGATTTAGATTCTCAAACAGTTTTTACCAACAAACGGACTAGATATAAGACTCTTTATACCCGTTTTAATGTTATTCTGCAGAAAAATAATTGGCTTTTCTAATGAAAGAAACCGTAGTTCAATTCGTGCATTTGCTAGTTTTAAACGGAAGTACAAAAAGAAACGAAAAGATTTTCTGGACAGTCGAATGAAAGATAAGCTCGAACTTGGCCGGCGTGTTTGCTTGGCTTTACTGCGAACTGTGTACAATAGTGTACAGTAATTTCAGTACTATAATGTGCAGTACAGTAATCTTTCAAGAACATGTGGATTTGCCAAACGAGCAAGACAATTGCAAAGCTTTTCTGAAACAGTTGGTTTTAAACAGAAGTACGAAAAGGAACGAAAAGAATTATTTGCCAACTAAATAGTGCAATAGCTAGGCTTTTGCAAAGTCTACCGGGAAAAGACTACCCTAAGCTCTTTTGCTGCCTACCGTAACCTCAGCAATTCTAGGCACAAAACTCGTCGGTGCAAATGGACAAGAAGTCGCATTACATGGAATGTCCCTTTTCTGGTCTCAATGGACTGAGGGATCCACTTTCTACAATAATGATACTATTCAAGTATTAGACTTTTGGCTTATCGATTATCCATCCGTTTCAGGCTTTGAAATGCTCTTGGAACGCGAATCTCGTCCGTGCGGCGATGGGTGTCGAAATGGGCGGATACTTGGATAATCCGACCACTGAACTGGCCAAGCTCTACGCAGTTGTGGATGCCGCAATTGACGCGGGAATCTATGTGATCATTGATTGGCATGATCACAATGCACAAGTTAGTTCAACTGTTAGACCCTAAAGTTTCAGGTAAGAGCTCAGCCTGAAGCCAGGTCCAGATCTGAATTTTCAGATCTGACTTTCCAGATCAAGCCTGAAGCCAGGAAGACCTCAGGTCCAGGTTCTTGTGGTTCGGGCCTAAAGCTAAGTCAACCCAAGTCCAAGGGTTGACTTTACTGCAGATCTGGGTGTACCTAGACTAAAGCCAGCTCTGGCTTTGATCTTGTTTTAATCTTTGATCTTTGGTTCTGCTTGGCTTTGGCTTGCCAGATCTGGCGCTGGAAAAGTTATTCTTATAATTCTAGAACCATGCTAGTGCAGCAGTCTCTTTCTTCTCAGCCGTTTCCCAAAAATACGCCTCCTATCCAAATGTCATCTACGAGACTTTCAACGAACCTCTGCAAGTTGATTGGACGACTGTCATCAAGCCTTATCATCAACAAGTTGTCAACGCAATCCGGGCAAATGATCCAAATAATATTATCGTTTTGGGAACACCAACATGGTCACAGGTAGAGAGAGTAAAAGTCCAATACTAAAAGCGATTAGGATGTTGATGTGGCTGCTGGTAATCCATTGAGTGGAAGCAATTTGATGTACACTCTTCACTACTATGCTGCCACACATAAGCAATACTTGAGGGATAAAGCTCAGACGGCGTTGAACCAGGTAATCAAGCAAACTAATTGCTTTCAACAAAGTTGATCATTGTAGGGACTTCCAATCTTTGTCACTGAATACGGAACGGTGGAAGCATCTGGTGATGGCCAAGTTGATCAACAATCATCCAATGATTGGTACACTTTCTTGGACAACAACAATATTTCCCATGCCAACTGGGCTATTGAGAACAAAGCTGAAGGAGCTGCAGCTCTTACACCGGGAAGCACAGCACAGCAAGTCGGCGATGACACTCGTCTCACAGCTTCCGGGCAATTCGTAAAGAACAAACTGAGATCTCAAAATAATGGTTGATTAATCAGGAAATCTTGTAACTAAACCCATTTAGGAATTGCTTGCTCCGGTGTCTCGAATCCACCACAAGCAACTGGCGGGCAAACATCGCCAGCCGGACAGACATCGCCAGCCGGACAGACATCGCCTCCTCAAACCAATCCACCAGCTCCTACAACTCCTGGTGGTAATAATGGCTCATCTGGGCTCCTCGTCTCAGTCGTATCAGTCAACTCTTGGGGTAACGGAGCTCAATACAAATTGGTTTTCCAAAACACTGGCTCTCATGCGATCTGTGGAGCCACTTTCCAGCTCAATTTAGATGGGGTAAGTGTTTTAAAGCCAAGATTTAAAGAATCCAGAGGCTAGGGCTTTATCAACTTCTTTACAGCTCAACATGGACAATCACTGGAACTTTGATCCAAGCGGCAGTGCCTGGGTTTTGCCTTCTTGGGTGAACATTCAACCATCAGCAACTTTTCAAGATTCTGGATTTGTCGGATCGGGAACTGGCATTCCTTCAGCTTCAGTCAATAGCTATACAGAGTGCTAGAGAAAATTAATCGTTTGATTTCAAGACGTTTGTACAAATATAAAGAGTAATAAAGCAGTAATGAAGCATTAAGAGTTGATAAAACACACAAGAAACAAGGCTGTTTGCACAAAATGTTCAATTGAAATGTGTTTTCACTTGGTAAATTCTATTCTTAATCATTTATACTTTCATAGAAAACTAATCCTTACAATATCCACACTCCAGTTACGCTTTCCTACAGACAAAACGAGCGACTCGAGAGTTTTTACCGATCCCCATGCATTCCCAATGCTTCCGGATCGTTTGACATCTGAAAGAGTTCTGCTATACAATACTTTAGTAGAATTAGGCGTACTATCATGAACTAATCAATTTTCTGGGATTCTAAATCCATTAAATTGTGAAAATCTATCACCCAAAGCGTCGGAGCAGCGTATTCAATTGGAGGCTGTAATGGACAAGCTTTCCATCAACCCATTTCCCACTCCTCCAGTTCCATTCTACACAATTCAAGCCATCAAAGCCCATTGTAAGTCACAGCCATCCGGTTGAACTTTTGTTGCAAGAGGATCTAGAAAAACATTGTTAAATTTTGATAATTTTGTGACCGTAAAAAAATTGTTCTCTTTTTGATGTGAATTGATGCAAGATGTCCATTCATTTGGTGAAAAGCAGCTTCAAAAATGTTTGAAAAGTTGCCAGTCTTGTCTGTTTGTAGAGGTGAGGTTCTGGAATAGAATCGATTTGAATTCTCAAGTCTGAAGTCAGTTCCAAATCAATCTCAATCTTCGGACTGCACTTCTTTGGTTTAAACGGTATAAACTAGGATTTTCTCAAGAGATCTCTCACAAACCTGCACAACTGAGTGATATTCAAGTATTCCATTGATTCTCAACCGGTTGAGCAAAAATTTCCATTGATGGTTTGAAGATATGCGAGGAATAGTAGGATCTGGTTGCCGTGCATTCAGCAATACTCCATTTTCCGTTCATTTCCCGTCCGTTTCCCGTTCATTTCCATTTCCGACTCAATACAGTGCATTGTTTTTGTGAATTCGTGATGTTCGATTTTCCTGTATTAGAGTTTTAATATGCAAATTACTTCAATGTAACTAATCATTTGCTCAATTTGTATGTGAGTGCTCGTCGCCCAAATCCCCTCAGATGTCTGCTTTACACTAATGTAAGTGAAATGATCTAATCTAAATTAAACAAAATGATCAATAGATTCTAAAGCTATTTCTTTTACTATGTTAAATATAATCGATTCACTCGATTGAGCAAGGCATTGTCGAAGAAGTTTTCGATTTTCACCACTTCACCCAACTCTAAGCTTTCAGAACTTTCTGAATCGAATTCTAGAATAATTTTGGTTCCGTTCAAGGTCGTTCATCCAGTTTATCCCGTGAAAGTGTTAGACAAGGTGATCGCTTGACGAGCGACGAGCGACAAACACTTCTCATTCAGAAACTGTTGTGCAGCCACATTGCAAGCAGCTTGAATGGTTCCAATTAACAGGAAAATAGAATACGCAACTGTTAGCAAAAAGCCATTTAATTGATTGATTAATCCATTAACTCCATTTGATTGATTGATTGATCCATTAACTCCATTTGATTGAATGATTGATTGATTAATCCATTAACTCCATTTGATTGATTGATTGATCCATTAAATAGACTCAGCAGAAGGGATGACCGATAGAGAACTTCGACTCTTACATCAGAATTTTCATTTTGACATAAAATGTACGATTTGATAGCTAGAAATTCGATTTTCTGCATAAAAAGCCTCAATCTAGCCAAAATCTTCTCTCACCTTTTTGCCTAGAATCAAGTTTTATCAGTTTTTTTGGATGGAAGCGATAGATTTTCGGTCTCACATGACTAGAGACTAGAGCATAAAAAAAGGAATGGGTGCATAAAATGTTTTCGCAGCTGTTGGAGATCAATACACACTTCACCAAGAACAAAAAGCTATAAAAAACAAATTTTACTCGTTTTTCAAGCAATGAAATTCATTTTTTGAACAAAAGCCAGCATCACTGGAGTAACAGAAACCATTGGAGTATGGATTTATGAACGGACAACAGCGTCCTCCATCCGCCCTCGAACATTCTACAATGACCACCAGACATTTTGGTTAATTAACTAGATAAATCTTTTATTTTCGACTTACCAAAGAGCTCAAATCGACTATAAGAACGATCACCATGTACAAGAAAATCTTCTTGGTTCTTGGACGAGCAAAAATCTTGGTTGAAACGTGTTTTTCTTGTTCAAATCGTATTCAAAGCCTAAATACTTATCTGCTGAATTTCAATCAAGAAAATGTTTTGTTTTATTATGTAAATGAACAATTCATTTGACTAGAATCCATTTGTAATGAGGCAAAAAGCTAACTGAGAACTGAACTGGGTACATGAATTCAAAAAACAGGCCAAGTTTGAGATCATACGTCTATTTTTCAATGTTGAAACAAAGAACTAATGTAAGGTGATGTCAAGAAGTACAAAAATGAAAAGTGAGCTTTAAATGGCTATCTTTTTGCATACTGAATAGGTAATATGGCTGAAGAAGTCGGGGCTCAAACTCCATGAACCCGGGGGACATTCTGGAGAGAATCTTGTCTTGCATTCGCGATCGTTGTAATTTGAAACCTAGAAGTCAATCAGCTTATGTTAGAAAAGCTAATGTTTTAAACGGGATTTGAAGAAAATTGAGTTCTACCCAGTATCTCCTTTTCAAGAAGAACAGAGCCAAGGCCAGAGCCAAGGCCAGAGCCAAGACCAGAGCCAAGGCCAGAGCCAAGACCAGAGCCAAGGCCAGAGCCAAGGCCAGAACCTTCTTCAGCCTCAAATGAGAAGCAAACTCACAAAGATATAACTCGCTTCACGGATGAGATAGTCAACACAAAGATACGCTTCATAATCATATGAAGAACCGTCGCTCCATGTTGATGTACCATTCACTTGCTAGATTTGAAAAGCTTGTCAAATTTCAAGACAAATCACTCACCCGTATACCACCTGTCAGATAAACAGCAGAGTTTCGGCAACTTGTCTCACAGCAAAGGCCTAGAGATGGGTGGATCTTGACTTTGGGCTCATCTTACCAGTAACAAAATCGTTTTCCACTTTTGAGTGAATTGAGATCAACTTTGCGCCTAAGCTCTTGCATTCCGTATCTGCCTCATGAATGGTAAGGCCTTGGAGAACCTGGAAAGTTGGAGATTAGGATTTAATCTGTTTTCAGACAGAACTAGAGGTCTTGAAGAGCTGGAGAACTTAAGCTAGACTTACTAATGTCTAGATTTTTTACGGTCTGGACTACTAGTTAGCTTATGCTTAGCTTTATGTCAACGCAGACTCACCAAATAAAGATATCCTGTCTCGGATGAGTATTGCCAGCCCTGCTTACAGCTGCCAACCGGTTGGGATTCACCTGAAAGTTGAAATCGATGATCGAATTAAGCAATCAAGAGAACTTTCAAGAGAGCTCATTTTAAACAGTAAAACAACTAACGATCAATGCACGAAAGATTGGTGCTTGGTGTGGGAACGGCCGGAATTGTAACATCGCCAATCTTTGGCGATGCACAGAGATAGTGCAAGAGATCGCTGCTGTACGCTACTTGCCAAGTTCCGTTTGAGTTCAATGTCACAACATCGCCTCCCACTTCATCTACAATGAAAAATTGAATGCAAGACTTTGAAAACAACTCTAGTTGTAACGTTTCAAACGTACTTGTTGGCTCAAAACGTTGATAATCAAAGAGTGTATCGTCGCTCCAGCGATAGTTTCCGTTGAAGTATAGAGCTCCCAAATAACCACGATCCGCGCCCGTTAGATCTGAAATCTGGGATGAAATTATTATTGTATCTACTCACTTTGTTGTATACTTGCCAAAAGACTATTTTGGAAAGCATTGTGAATGGAGAGGAGATCAGCGTTGAGTGTTGATTGACAAAGAGACAATGCATCCGTCCATTTAGCTGAAAAGAGTAATTGCAAAGGTTTAAGAACAAAATCTCAATTGTTATAGCTACAATTGAATTCCTTAACTCACCAGGAACAGTCGATCCTTTCAAGCAAATGTCTAAATCTGACTGATAGAAAAATCCGGATGGACAATTGGAATCTTGAGCAAAAACCAATTGCACCAATACAAAGCTCAGAATTGAGAATGCTATCATTTTAAAGAACTTTTCGATTAGGGAAATATTTCACTATTATATAGCAAGCTCAGGTTCAATTCTTGAATCTCTTATCATTTTGTGGCATTTTGTTTTCAGAGATTTGTCATTGGGGGAAAGGGTCAATTGGCGAGAATTCATTTGAACTAGAGTGGTGTCATTGCTTGAGAATTAGTCCATCAGAAATATGCAATGCACGTCAGAAATATGCAATATAATCAAAGTAGATTCTATATAAAATCCTTTTTTTAGGATTATCTAAAATTCAGTGTTAAACCAAGGAAATTGCACGGCTAAAAAACAACAAGTAAAGTAGTCGAACATGCCCAAAAACGACAGCACTACTTTTATTCATCAATTTGGGCCGGCTTTTTTCTTTTTACCACACGAAATGTTTAAAATGTCTTACTACTTTTTGCAAAAGAATGCAATCGAAGCTAAAGATACTCAAAACACAACTTTACTGCTTAAAACTAAGCTTAAGCCTAAGCCCAAGCCTTAAAATATTAGTTTGGCTCATAAGTCTTTAGACACTTTTTTCTACTAGCGCTTATAAATGAAAAATTCACCAATTGATTCACCAATTGACTTACAATAGGCTCTATTAGAAAAAGCTACTATTTTTCTACAAAATAACGTTTAAATCTTATGAAAATGTTTTGTTTATGATTTTTTATGTGGGCGTGAAGTCGGGTAGTCAAAAAAGGCGATAACCCGATAGATTAGGGAATTTCGGCGCTTTGATCCACAGAAAACTATCCTGGTCTCAATAGATAAAAGATAGAGCGTAAAAAGTTAGGTATACAGCCGAATATTTGGCATAATCTATTTAGCGGTTTGCTATTTTTATCGAATTTTACGAAAAATGAGTTTTTACACTCGAATTTGCTTGGAAAAGTACTTGAATTATCTTGAAAAGATAGAAAAGTAAACAATTGAATTGGATAAACAATGAATTGAATAAACAAATGAATGAATAAACATTTTCCAATTGAATAGTAAACATTTTAGAGCGAATTGTAGGTTAATTGATGAATTTGTCTTTTATAAATGCTAGTAGAAAAAAGTGTTGAAAAACTTATCGGCTAACCTACTAAAAATGCGAAAAAGGGGACCGAAGGGGATCGAACTCGAGTTCGAAAAATGGGAGACAACGGCACTACCACTGCACCATCGAATCAATTCTTGGGTAGCCCTTACAAACTCCTAAGTCCCTCAGTGCACTAGAGGATCAAATCTCAAATGCATTTTTACAGAAAGCTAGACAGAAACTAAAAACGCCTTGGCCTTGGCCGATTTGCTTAATTCATATACTTCGGCTTTGGTTCGGATTCGTGCTTGCGAAATCTGAACATTCCCTGGTTAGAACTAGATAGACAGATAGACAAAAGCTGTTCAAAAGTTGTTCGCTCTTTGAAAATGTATCAACTTTGAACCCGATTTTCTCAGCAAAAGTCATGATTTATGCAAATCTTCGCTGAATAGGTTAATCCTGTCAAAAGGGTGCAGAGAGATCTCAATTTTTTGTGCGAGTTTCATCACACTGATGATTGATAAACAGGAACAAGAAGGAATAGGTATTTAACGATTGCAATGTTTTTCTTGCACGCAAAAAAGCGGTCATTGTGGTCAACAACCAAAACTTGGAATCACGGAAAAATGAACGATGATCGATTTATGCTATGGACTTCGACATTGCTTGGTTGGTTTCAAAAACAATAGTTTTTGAAAAGTGACGGTTTAGAAAGCGCATCAATTGATAGAAACACATTTTAATAACTATAGTAAGACTACAGTAAGCATAAAGTTACGGTAGTCGTAACGGTAGAACGGTAGTTGTAACAATAGAACGGTAGTTGTATCAATAGAACGGTAGTTGTATCAATAGAACGGTAGTTGTAACGGTAGGACGGTAGTCGTAACGGTGAAACGGTAATCGTAACAATAGAACGGTAGTTGTAACGAGTCAAAAAAGAGTTAACTTAAAGTTAACTAAGATATCTTTACTTAAAACTGATTAAGTTAAAAACCAACATTAAAGCCAAGACAGAAAACTTGAAGGCTTTCTGATTTAGTCAATACTTAATACAATAGTTGAACTTTAGTTTATGAGATTTCCGGATGCTGAGCAAGATCTCAAAGACCTCCAGAGATCTCAAAGATCCAGAGATCCAGAGATCTCAAAGACAGATCTCAAAGACAGAACAAGATCCAGAGACCTCAAAGACAAAAGTTCAACTATTGTATTCAGTTCTAGAATTATTAGTCTGTGTGTTTTCTTACTGTTATTTGTTTTCCTAGGTGTTCTCCAAATGTGGTGCTTTTTTGGCTTCGATATGATGTCATTCTTGGTGGAACCAATTTGTCACTCAGTTCGAGAACGATGTCCAGAGTGTATCATTCAATTCGCTGGATATTATGGGTAACAAAACATTCATATAACTGTCATTGTTAACTTGTCCTTGTATTAATTAACTATTGCCATTTATATTAACTATTAACTATTGCCTTTTCAGAACAGCCGTCCTCTGCTTCTCGTACACGATCGGTAACCTGATTGCGCCGTGTTTCCTACCACTTCTCGGCGCTAAGGGCTGTCTAATCCTTTCTTCAACTTTATTCAGTGTCTATGCTGCGAACTTCTTTTATCTACGAACATATTTCTTTTTCCCGGCAAATGTCTGTTGTGGATTCGCGTTTGCTCGTGAGTTCTCACTCAATTCGTTAGTTAGAAGCTTTTAAATCCAGCTTTAACAAACATCGGCCACTAAAGCATCATCTGATTGTCTAATGAATCTAATGAATCATCTAAGCATCATCTAATGAATCTCTAGTGTTATTTTTGGGAGTTACAAAAGCCAATTTCCTTTTCAGTGTTTTATGCTGGTGGTGGATCATATGCTTTGCGACATTCAACCGATCGTTTCCTTTCTCGAAATCAATCAATCCAGTGGATGGTCGCTTCGTTAACGTAAGAGGGACTATTGTTGAAAAAAAACCATGATCGATGTCTAGAACTCTTTTGAGCGGCACTTTTTTGATCTTTTCGGCAAGTGTTTTGAAGGAACATCCAGGAAATGAGACTGAGATTTCAGCAAAGGGAACAGAGGTATATTTCCTTGATTGATGAGCTGATTAATCATTGCACGCTCAAAAATCTCAGCAAGGAAGTTCCGGATTTCAGCGATAAACATACAAAAACAAGTTCTAGGGTAGTTTTTTGAATAGGGTCGCTTTAGAACTTTGTGATACGTTTTCTAAAAGGCGCTCGTTTTAGAAAACTATCGTAGTCCACAGCAAACTGGATTTGCACCAGACCTGAGAATTTTCGGTGTGAAGATCAATAGATGTTCAGCAGAAAAATACCATATCTTGCCTAATTTCACTCCAAACTTTTTTGTCTTTGATTTCAATCGATAGAAAATTAAACTCTGCGTCAATTGATATTAAAATCAAAAAGATCGGAGTGAAATTAAACGAGATATGCTATTTTTCCACACCTTTTGGCATTCACACCGAAAATTCCCAAAACTAGTGTGTACTTTTAATGTCTTTTAGGAAAAACAGTTCTAATGGCTTTAGTTTTGACAACTTTTGAGTAAAGCTTGAGCTTAAACTGTGTGAAAATTCATAGCGAAAACACCAAGCAATATATCGAATTCAGAATGACGCTGAGTACCGTCAATTCTCCGACAAAGAGATCCATTTGCTATCAATCGGAATGTCAGTCTTAGCTCTCGCTTCAATTATCCTCGCCTTTCTTCTCCCGAAAAGAGAACTCCAGGGATCATTGCAAAAGAAAGTCAAAAATGAAGTCTCGTTGAAGAAACAGATTTGTAAGTGTCAAATCTTCGCACCAGAAATCGAAATTCTTTAGGCAAAGTATTCTGGGCGATGAGACAAAAATCATTGCTGAAAGTCTCTTTCCTTTTCATGTCCACCGGTTCATTCATCTCATTGTTCTTGACCATTTATCCGACGACCATGTCATTCACGGATTCTTTGGCCAGGAATAAGAATCTTGTGGCATATTACTGTATCGCTTGTTGTGTGGGAGAGTTCATAGGTGAGTGTTTTAATGACGGTGGGATTGTGCTTGGAACAGTTTTCAAGGCCAGATTTCCATTTCCATTTCCAGTTGGCTTCTCAATCACGCTTTTGAGCAAACGAATTCGTGACTTTGGGCTTATTCCGGCAATGTCTCTTACTTGTGTACTTTATGTGATCGTGGCTGTTCTAATGATTCTCTTTACCCCGGCAATGGCTTCTATTGGACCGACAAAAGATCATGCAATCTTTGAAACAAAGTTAGTTCAATAGATAAGTAACAGTAAAGCCTAAGCAGTCACAAGAACGTTTCTTTTCTCAAATAAAACGATGTCAACCAATCTTTGCTCATTTCTAAAAGAAACATTCAAGAAAACATTGAAAACTTGTACAGGTTTTTTTCTTGAGCTAAATACAGGTTTAAATACAAGTAAATGCAAAATACTGACTAAAGAGAACATATCATTTCAGTCAATGGATCTGTATTTTACTTGGTGTTTTGACTGGAGCACTTGACGGATCGGCGAACAACGCGAGAATGGTCGCTGCAGCAAAGGGACTACCCGACGAGCCGGCTATTGCTTTCAGTGTATCGAAATTTTATCAAGTAAGTCAAAAAACTCGAATTCAGTTCAGTTTTCACCTTTTTCATTTCACTATTTTAATTCTGAAAGCATTCAGGCAGCTGCTCAAACGATCTGCCTATCTTTGGGGTCAATCCTGAATCTTCATCAAATCATTTGCGTCATTGGCGTTGTTCTGTTGATCAGTAAGTTTACTGGAATATAAGTTTTCATAAAAGCAATTCGCTTAATGATTTTATCACAATTTTAGGCGTTTTCTGCTACATTTCCTATATCCGAAATCTATCGGAAAGGAGAGTTTCATCAGAAGAAAAGTTGCCTCAAGAATTCGAATCGACAAATTATTAAAAATCGCAATAGAATGTAAATAAACAGACATTGTGTTCATAAAAAGTTAATATCATTAATAAAAGGATTTATTGAGCTCATCATTTTCGGCTTTTCTGTTTTTGAACTGTCTACCCAAAAACTTTTCCGTTTAAAACCCTTCTATATTAATTGTGTTGCAAAGTTTTTCACTATTCCAGTGACTTGAGTTTGAGTAAATGATTATTCGATCAATTTTCGGTAATTTCTTGAGCTATTTTATGTTCATTGCAAACTAAGACTGCCAAACTCTTATCGCAAGCCTGTAAAAGGACGAAGAAAAAGAGACTGGACAAAAACACAAAAGCTATTGATTTTAGCAACATTTTCCTGCAAAAATTTAAAGCTGTTAACATTTGTCTTTAAACACGGGAAAACATTTCGAGAATCAGCGATTCACCAATGGATCAATCAACGGTTTGTCAATTTGTCAATTTTGCTTTAGTAATTTCATAGGAAACTTCACAACCCAACTCACAACTAATTAAAATTGATCTCGAGAAGGATGCCGATGGAAAGCAAAAAATTCTCGATACCAAGATTCCCAGTAATTACCGTCCTGATCTAGTGAGTTTTTGAAACCTTGGTAATCAAATGAATTGTATATACCTATGTCCTAGACATGTGCACTCGGTCCGGTACTCTGCCGTCTGGTGTCTCGGTCCGGTCTCAGCTCGGACTGGACAGAGATCGGACCAACTGATACGGACCAAGTGCACATTTCTACTATGTACTAATGTACTAAGCAAAAGAAGAATATCATCACCAAAAGTTAAACTCAAAGAAACTTTTCAACAAATTGCCCCTAAATAACGTTTCTATTTTGGATTGACGCTGATTATCGACCAAAAGATTTGGAGCCCACGACCTATCACAAATTGGGCGAAGGGAGCACAGGGGTTGCTGTGTAAGAATTTTTTGCTTTCTCCAGATTCCCCAATTCATAGCTGACAAGTTTCAGAGCTGCCGTACGAGAAGTCAAAGGCGCTTCTGGGACTCGGACGGAGAAAGTTGTTTTGAAGAAGTAAAATTTTGAAATCTTATAACTTTGAAATTTCAAAACCAGAAAAATAACAAAGATCTAGATACGATATTGAAGGTTTCAATGTCCATCAGGTTGACTACAAAACAATCCTTCGGGAATTCCAAAATCTTCAATATTTGATGCACGAAAATGTGAGATTGAAGTCAAATCTGATCTAGAAGTAATGGGCAGTTTAGATTGCTACAATGAAGGATTCTTTTTGGAGTTTTAGCGAGAAAGGAACCTTAAATCATGTGTGGATTGTCACGGAAAGAATGGACTTCAAGCTATCGGATTTTTTCAGGTTTGTTGGTCATCTGAGCCATCCTTAACGGGTTTCTGGATGAAATTCAGAACTGCAGCGAAAAAAGACGATACGCCAACGCCAGCACCACGTGATCATCGCCATCTCTCATCGATGCTTGTTCAAATTTTACACGCACTTGACTATTTGCATCAACGGGGAATCATGCATCGAGTTGGTTTAATGATATTTTCAATTTAATTGGTTGCATGTGATAGCTTTTAGGCTTTGTTGTTAAACTCCAATTTCTGAATCCAAAAACCCCGGACTTTTCCGAAAAGCCAAAACTCACGGGCTAGGCCAAAACCAAGAATAATCTCAGAGATTTTGTAACAATATAAGAACCTTTGGAATTGCTTATAAACAACTTGGCTTTGGCTTTCGCTTGTTTGACCTAGAAAATCGAGTCTGGGAATAGCGCTGATTGAGACACATTAATATGGGACTACCCTTCAAATTTCAGGATGTGAAGCCAGACAACATTGGACTCAGCAAGCAATTCGATTTGAAACTTTTCGATTTTGGAGTTGCAAGGTGACTTTTAAGACTGTGAGCCATATTTAAATCTTCAGGCCAATCAACGATATGAAAGATTTGACAGAAGGCGCTTCATCTCCCCTATATCTACCACTTGAAGTGCAACTAGTGGAACAGTACGATTGGGGCGGTACTTTAACTTGAAAGCTTTTGAGTTGAGTTGTTTAGTTGACATTTGGGCAACCGGCTTAGTCGCACTTGATTTTCTCAATCATCCATTCTACCCGGCAAGTGTGAACTCGGTTTGTGACTGTTTATTGCCATGATTAGACTCCAGATACCTATGCTAATGTTTAGAAACCAAAAATCAAACAAAGGATTCTTGATGTTTTTGGAGTGCCAGGAAACAAGTACAAGGAATTGTAAGTTCTATCGTTTAAAGGGACCATTCTAAAAGGCGCTTGGGGCTACCAAATGTCAAATACCAATTAGTCGATGAAATTTCAGTTTCAAAGACAAGTTGATACATGAGAAGCCACGTGATGGTATCTTCAACGCTTTTCTGACCACAGCCTGCACACGGCTTGGACCTGCACTTGGGAATTTGAATGGTAGGATCTGTGGTGTTTAACTTGAGCCTAAAGCGATGTAAGTGAAGCTGAGCAAGGCTAGAAGCCAGGTCTAGCTTGCTTTGGTTCTCTGAGGCTTCTAGTGGTTCTAGGAGCTTTTATATGCAAGACCAGGGAACTTGCTACTGGAATCATTACGGTAGTGTCGAATCAAATCTGGAGTCACGTTAATTTCAATCCACTTAGTCAACTTTAGAGGAGAACTTTCAAGATCTTCTCGGTAAAATGCTTTGCATCAACCCACGAAGAACTTTGGCAAGAGAGCTTCTGGAACATAAATATTTGAAAGCAGTGAATGTAAACGATTTTCCATGAGCTTCCTATGAACGTTTTTAGGCTGGACGCTTGAAGAAGGCAAAGGAAAAGGCAAATCAGTGCAAAAATACGCTCGACGATCACGAATCAACGCAAAATGAACGTGACAAGGAAACGCTCATCAAAACACTCAAAAATTTTTCGACGCAATTATGAGAAGGAAATAAATAGCTAAAAAGGATTCATTGGGCACAGTTCGAAAATAAAGATTTGCTTTTTAGTACTTTTTCGGACAATTAGAAGCAAGGCACTGAAAATTAACAGATAAACTTAACAAATTACAGCATTTTCGGGTTAAACTTTCGTAAATTCACTTGTGCTCAAGTTTGGTGCTCAAAAAATACGCCACAAATTTCTTTAAAAAATCGACTACACCTGTTAAAATGAGCGATTCGCCAATCGATCAATCGACGGTTTGTTACTTTTAATTTTTCTAGAGTTGTTTATTTACTAGCTTAAAGAGGGGTCTGAATAGGGACCGATTGTCGAAAAGGGACGGATTTAAAATCAAATTGTCGGCGATTAGGTGTAGTTATATAATTTGTTGAAGTCTCATTTAGAAATGGCTAAAGTAAATCGGTAAATCATTTTTTGGCTGCCCAAAAAACACCATTTCCGCAGGGATTTTTCTTTTGATAATACAAAAAAAAGATCTTGAGCTGTAAAGTTGTACAAAAATTATAATTTAGTACAGCAAAGGCAAACTGGTACTGCTTAGATGGAGACCTGCAGTTCGTTATCGCGCGTTACCAAGCAGCCATAAAATGACAAAAGAAAAATGACTCACAATAAATTGATTTCTGCCTTTTCTGAGAAATTCTAATAGTTCTTATTGCAAACAGTGCTGCACTTTTGTGACTATTCTATTGGAAACTTGTTTTATTCTGTAATATGACCGTTTTAACGAAAGATCAAGCCACGGTTTGTCTTTTTTACAGTTTTGTTTCTACTTCTGATCGACTATAAAAAGAAGATTTAAAGTAAAATTCTAGCAAACTGATAATTTTGTGCAACAAACCGCTTCACTAACAAAATCGCAGCCAATCCGAATCGAACCGAGACCGAACGAAAGGGAACTCTTAGATACGATCCCCTCTAACTATCGCCCAGATTTGGTGAGTCAAATGAAGCCATTTCAGTTAAATGAAGCCGTTTAGCCATTTCACCTTGAAAGTACAATTTCCTAATTCCACATTTTCAACGTTTTAGAACGAGAAGACATCTGCTCGGCCAGAAAGTTTGGATAAAAATGTCTATCATCGACTCGGGGAAGGAAGCTTAGGGATAGCAATGTAAGCAAAATTTATACGTATCAAAAACTAAAACTGTTAGCGCTGCGATACGAGAAACGAAGGAGTCGAAATCCGAAAGAGTTGTTTTGAAGCGGTGAGTTGGCAATCTTTCAACGCATACTTCACATTCAGTTTCAAATTTGATCCTTTAATTCTCGATCCGAACCGGGATACCTACACGTCGATGCTTCGGGAATTCCAGAATCTGCAGTACTTGTCTCATGAAAATGTTGGGTATTGGGATATTAATTTCAAAGTTTTCAAAGCTGAGTACTTGTTACTAGATGTTTATCTTGAGACGAGACAAATTAAAGAAAATTTCAGATCGCTGAAATGAAGGACTCTTTCTGGAGTCTTAACGCGGTCGGAAATTTGGATTCATTATGGATTGTCACCGAGAGAATGACTTATACACTTGATGGTCTTTTCCGGTTGGTAATACAACTTGTAAAGGTATTGATCCTTTAAAGACATCGAGCACAAAGAGACGGCGGCCCAAACGAAAAGCCACGTGATCATCGCGAGTTGGGTTCGATGATTGTGCAAATCTTGCGAGCACTCGACTATCTGCATCAAATGGGAATCATGCACCGAGTTAGTTCAGTTTAAATCTCAACTCACAAGGGAATGCCAACGGGTCTGGTGGCCAAATGACATGAGCCATATACTATTCGATCATGACTGCATTTTATAAACAGATGTCCTAGAGACTATAAAGAACAGTGGTGGCCGATTGATAGTCTAGCGCGCACTTTGGAGCCCCGAAACTCGGCTTAAAGCGCCTTTTCCCCAGCTCTGGTTGTGTCGGAATCTACGCATGAAACTACCGCAGAAAAAGTGCTTTTGAAGAAAAAAAAGTGCCCCCCAACTGGCGTAGTTGGACGCCCACTTCTAAAAGGCGTAGTACCAGTTAAAAGTCCAGTTGTTATTAGTTAAAAGTTAACATTTTTATGAGAAGTAATTTGAAAAAGAAAAAAAGATATTTGAAATGGAGATCAATTACCTCTAAAAAAGCAAAAAGAAAGTTAAACTGCGGGCTAGAACTCGAGAGACCTTGCCTTGCATTCTACCACTCGGCCGCCACTGCTCTTTATAGTCTCTGGAAAATCTGTTTATAAAATGCAGGCATGATTTATAAAATTCCATACAAAACTTTGCATGCTTATACTTTCTGACAGAGTGCTATTTAGCTAAAACGGAAAACAAATTCGGTATCAGCGTAAAATTCTGCGTCGAATAGTATTTGGCTCGTGTCATTTGACCACCACACCCTTGTGCGTAAATGACAAAGTTTAGGACGTGAAGCCGGCAAACATCGGAATTAACTCTGATAGTCACTTGAAAATTTTTGACTTTGGTGTTGCTAGGTGGGTAGATTTTCAGTGTAAACTCTTTCAGTTGCCAGAATTGTATCTCTGCTTACTGCTAGGAAAACATGACCGCTTCAGGTCGATCAACACAAATAACGATAGGACACACATGGCTTCAACTCCTTTATTTCAGCCGCTGGAAGTGCAACTAGGGCAACAATACGATCGCGGAGGTACGCTTTACTGCTAGCACTGAAATTTGAAAGCCAAATAACTTTAGTTGACATTTGGTCAACGGGTTTGGTGGTACTCGAGTTTCTCAACAATCCACTCTATGACATAAAAGCTGTGACAAAGGTATCAACAACAAAACATTTTCCGTGTACCATGAGGACTTTCAGAAAGAGCAAATCGTGCCCCGGATTCTGGAAGTGTTTGGGTTGCCGGAAGACAAGTACGAAGCATTGTACGTTCTGACACATTTAACTTTACTTTACTCGATGTTTTCATCCTTGAATTGAAACCAAGTCTAAAGTTGCCTCAATCGAGCGTTTCAGTTTCGGGGACAGGTTGAAAGCAGAGCAATTGCGTGAATCAACTTTTGAGGCTTTTTTGGATGAGGGCTTGAAGAGGCTTGGACCTAGTGTTAAAGATTTGAATGGTAGGCGATTTATAACATAGCAGATGCAACTTTTATTGGGCTATTATGATATTAGTGAGTGAACCACTAAAGAGGTTACGGTTGTTTTTGAAAGTTGATACTTTTTAGATGTTAAGTTACGAGATTACGAGAAGGTAAAGGTAAGTTTAAGTTTTAGAGGACACACTATTGAAGCATATTCTACTAAAGATTCTTATTTCTTTAACAGAATTCAATCAGTACTCGTTACAGAAAAGAACCTGAAAGATCTACTCACTCGTTTGTTGACAATCAATCCCCGACGACCGTTGGCCAACGACCTTCTCCGCCATGCCTATTTAAAAGAAACAAATGTAAGCCTTTATTAAACTCTATTTACAACCAGCTTTTCAGGCAGCTATCTTGAGAAAGTATCCATCGATCTCAGCCAACGACCATGTGGCAAAGAACGAACGTGACAAGAAAATCTTGCTCAACGTGCTCAAAAACTTTTCTAACCAGGTGTAGGGAACGGAATAAATGAATGAGATCGTAAAATCAACGTGAAATAAAAAATTCAAAAAGATATTACCAACTAATGCAATAGCTGGACTTCTTGATATGATAAATCTTGGGTTGTTGAATTGAAAATTGCGGGACTTGGAGCCAAAATTTATTGAACATAAAACCATAAATTCATGCCAAATAATTTCCATTACTATTGACGACTTTTGCCCATTTTTCAGGCAATTTGCGGATTCCTCTTTCGTGGTAGGATTTTGGTTTTAAATCGAAAAACTCCGGTCCGGACTGTATGGGGAATCCGCCAAAAGTTCCTAAACAAGCAATTGATCCCGCTTGATTTATCAAATTTTTAATAATTTTTCAACTATGATAGTTTCACCCACGCAAAATTTAAGTTAAGAAATTTAAGTAATATGGTTTGTGAATTTCCTTGAGAAAAAAATTGAGAGACTTGGAGGTTGTCTTTGATGTTGCCAGTACTTCAACAGAGCTTAGAGCCTGAGCCTGAGCCTAAGCCTGAGCCTAACAAATGAAAGAAATGGCAAAGGGGCAATTTGTGCGAGTGCTTTTATTAGCGGAAAAAATATTCAGTCAAATTATTGAAATTCTAAATCGTGTCTCGTTACAGTACTTGTCAGCTAATTTTCTCTTTAAATAGTGAACAAAAGTTCTCATTCTTGTTGCGATTCTTACCTAGCTTTGCTTTGTTTTAAGTAGCGGCTACGATCTACCTATTTTTCAGCTCAATCCTGAATCTCCATCAAATCATTTTCGTTATTGGTGTTTTTCTGCTAAGAAGTAAGCTTACTGGGATATAAATATACCCAAAACAATTTTATCAATGATTTTATCACAATTTTAATCATTTGCTGTTACTTTTCCTTCTATTGGACAGGAGAATTTTGTCAGAAAAGTTACCACAAGAATTTGAATCGACAAATTCTTGAAATTATCGCAATGAATTGTAAATAACTTGTATTTTGTGAATAGAATGGGAACTTCTTGAAATCGATGTTTTATAAACAACACATCCCATTTTTAAGTTCTTATCATGAACCAAAAAACGGCGGAGGCGAAAAAATACCGAAAAAGACGCAAGTGGCATATCGATTTTTTGCAATTCTCTTGCAAAATTTTAAAATGTGAGTTTTAGTTGCAAGCTTTAGTTGCTGTTGCCGAGAAATTTCAATTCAATTACAACTTTTTGAGTACTTTAACACAATTTCATTAGAATGGACGATCCTTCTATGGAGCAATCAACGGTTTGTTGTCGTTGTTTTTTCTAAAATCATTGTTTTTTCCAGGGTGATCCTTCAAGAACCCCATCGCAAACGATTCAAATTGATTGTGAGAAAGATACGGAAGGAAAAGCGAAAATAATCACAGCCCTGATTCCTAGCGATTATC